GATTGTCAAAATAATGGTTGCAGTCGATTCGTCGGATGACGTATCAGTAACTACGAGGTACCTACCTGGCTAGCCTCAGCCCTGCTACCCTCGGACCTGCCTGCATAGGGGAAATGGGGTCAGATGGTGGATCCCTCTGGGGCTTTCCTTATAAGACGCGCAAAAAGGAGTATATTGCAACGAAACTTCCAGTGACCTCGAGTTAATGAATTTTACACCTATTCTTAAAAAAATTGGCCCTGATTCGAATATGGATGACCTTGGTTAACTTTTTTGAGTTTTATTTGCTTCCACTTACAAGTGTGGTTTTTGGGGCTGATTTCGAGTTTAGCGCCCGTTTGAACCGTTTCAAGTAGTTTTGATAAATGATGGTTATGTAACATGTTACGAAGCTATCGTTGGTGGTTGTCAGTTACCCACTCTAGATGGCCGACAGGAAGCCTGCTGGTCGATCTGACCTGACCCGACCCGATCTACCCAAAATGCATGGAGTCATCATCTTTTCTTTGTTCAAGACTAACATCGAACTCGTACTCGGGACCCCGATAACAGCTACGGCTCACTAAGTTCTAGCAGGCGGCCAGATTTTTCCTACTTTTGGGCGTTGACCTAAGATGACCCGGCCAAGACCTTGAAATTAGGCATCATCGGCTTTCTCTCATCACGGGCAGCATTTTCGCTCTTCCGCGAAACTCTACCTCGATCAGGGGCCGAAAGCATGCCTTATGCGTTACGTTGGTAAACGTTTTACCTTAGCGACCCGCAAAATACGAATAAGAGCTACAGCAACACAGAAAGCGTATTCGATAGCTTTTTAAAGCTCTTTCGCCAACTTCGCCTCAGATATGACTTCGGGTCTATGGCTTCAGGCTTGTGTACCATAGAGTCCAAACAGCTAAACGGACGGATTTTGCCGAAACATTTGTTCTGTAACAACCTATGATTCAGTGAATGTGTATGATATTCATGTTATCACCATCGTTTTTGTTTCGTCGAAACACGTCGCATGGCTTACAATTTGAACTTAAAAACTTGAATAGAAAACTTGACATCAGGTAAAGGTCATGACCTGACCGGAAAAGAACCTGCTGCATATGGATCGATCTGTGTTACTGAGCTGAACACACTCCAGGTGCTGTCATCGCTCTACAACGTCTCCATCAAAAGTTGTTGTCGAAAATGTGTTAGAGACCTTTGATGACCTAATGACTGACCATTTCAGTCACCACTGGTCATTAGCTGCACCTTATCTCTAAAATGAACAAGGTGTCATGGCTACAAAAGTATCTAGCGTTTTTAGCATATTCTTTCAAAGCAGAGGGCATCGTGCTTTTTCCCATATCTTATCATGATTGGTGAGGTCACACACCTATTTGACCTGACTTCGCTTCTCAGATGTAAAATCCCAGATTCATGAACTGTTGGCACTTATAATCCCATTCATTACACCAAATTTCAGACTTATAGGAGTCACTAGTCAGGAGATAATCTATAGGAATGACAAGATTGCAGTTTTAAGAGGCATTAAAACTTACCTTGACATGACATTGTTACCTGACCTCGGGTGACCTCTGCTTGATTTTTATGCACGATGCAAAATTGATGTACAATACGATATACCGCTGCTTTCGCGGCGCTGCGCGCCGAGGTTTTTCTCCGGGCACACGAAAAAACCGGGAGTGTGGCTAAAAACCAGAGCTGGGCGCGTTCCTCGATTTTCGGTAGTGCGTTAGCGTTCCTGCGTTCCTCCGGCCGCGGTTAGTGCGTTCCTGGAATAGCGTTCCTCAATTTTTTTTCGTTCGGTGCGTTAGCGTTCCTGCGTTCCTGCGTTCCTCCCCCAAAAATACCGCCGAACCACGCGGCGCGGGCCCAACCAAACACGGGGCGAATCGATCAGAATGGCGACGTGGGGCCGAAAAGCAACTCGACATCTCTTTTCCGAATCGAATATCTGAAATACGTTTTACCAATATCATCCGTAGGGTTTTCAACAAAAATACGACCTGCTTAAAGGGACTATCCCACCTTCTAAAATGTTGTTAAAACCAGTTAAATTGTGCCCGACTTTATAGATTGGATGACCAAGAACACGGTTCTGGCATTTATTTTTCATTAAACATCTTAGGCTTCCCATATTCCAAACACAAACTTTCAAATATGTGACGTCACAGCCCAAAATTACCTCCTTCCCCAGGCCACATTACTGTCATAAAGCTGATTCTTTTTACTCTGTAGGCACCACAACAAAGTTCAGACCAAGTTTTAAGCGATTTTTCAACGAACAAACCCATTTAAAGGAAATAGTTCACTTTCACGAAATTATTTTTTTTTTGCAACGATTTATTATTTTTTATGTTCAAAATAATCAGGAAAGAAAATAAAACCTTTTTATAACAAAAGATTTTTTTCTATATTTTGATATAGGAAGAACTTTTCAGTTTCTGTAAGGCACAGCGATCCAGTATGAAAAGAGCATGGGTCCCGAAAATTCTTCAGAAACAGAGAAATTATCGCAGCCACCGGCATTTGGGCGATCTGCTCGATCTGATAATGTTCCCCTGAATGTCCTAATTGATCAGTACGAGAATTTCTCTAGAGTTCTCGTAGATAATTTCTCTAGTTTCTGAAGAATTTTCGGGACCCATGCTCTTTTCATACTGGATGGAAATATATGCAAGGCACACATCCTCAACGCAAGACACCTTTTTCGGGACGAGAAATAGAATATCTTTGCCTAGGGTGATCGTTGGGCTGTAAAAGCTCCTGATTTATGCTCGTCTCAGCCCAAGCTACGGAACTGCTATTCCAGTTCAAAACCCATGTTAAAAAGTGAACTATTTCCTTTAAATCAGAATGACTAAACGAGGTGACGTCACACTAACGGTCGCTCCATGTTGAAGTTAAGGCCTTGTACAAGGCCCATTTTCAAATGAAGGGAACGAATTTCTTCAACACCAAGAGGCCGCGGGGGTTGCAACCTAGATAGATAGTGGTTTCTGAACCTCGCCGCAAACTTGGCTATCTCAACTCAAACCCCATGTTAAAGGTGGGATAGTCCCTTTAAAAACAATAGTTAAGTTAAAAGATGTATCTTAGTAAAAGTTTATCATATTTACTTTACACATTTAATGCCTGAAACTGAATCGAATAGTAAACATCACCACTAAAAATCTTTACACATTTAATGCCTGAAACCGAATCGAATAGTAAACATCACCACTAAATCTAAGCAAGCCTTCCTCGATTCGACCGACAAGTGGCGCCTCTACCGGCAAACACACGTACTCGAGATTCAAACATTTGACACAGAGGTCATTGGCAGCAATATAATTTTTCGGGTGGTTCCGCAAGAACGCAGGAACGCTTCAAAATTTCGGGTGGTGCGTTCCTCTTACTTGCGTTCCTTTGAAAAACTTTGCGTTCCTGCGTTCTTGCGTTCCTAAAAAGGGCGGTGCGTACGTACGGAAGAACGCAGGAACGCACTAAAGGAACGCACTTGCCCAGCTCTGCTAAAAACACCCCTACCCATCAAGACGAAGACCGGAAACCCGACCCCCCCCCCCCCCACTCAAAAATCCGTGGCGACGCCCCTGGCTCCAATCACCGGCCGGGAGTCGAACGCTTTAGGTACCTACCAATGAACTGAGCACTACTTGCTCAATAACGACCAAGCTCCAACCGGCCTCACGGCCCAAATCGCACACCGCAGTGACGTCTCCACCAGGGACACGAGGGGCTCTCTAGCCGGCTCGCTGCAGATCCCTCGAGTGCGCAGTGAACACGCACGGAAGTCGTTCTTTTGTCGTGCTGTCTCACTCTGGAACCGCGCTCCTGCGGAAGTGAGAGAGTCCCGCTCTGCCAGAGTCTGTCGGAGAAGGGCGAGAAAGTGGCTGACGACCTCCACCTAAATAGGACACTGATACTTTTTTTTTAATGGTGTTGATAACTTTTAGGCGTGTTTCATGTGTATTTTAATATTTTTAGTGTAGGGTGCAATATTACTTTTATGCTGCATATTTTACTTTTAATAGGTACCTGATTTTATGTAAACCTGACACTTGTTCCGAAAAGCCATCGAATGTGGACGAACATAAGAATACATGATGATGATGATGATGAGCAAATGCACGGGCAACCCTTGTGAAAGTTATCGCTCATTTGAAAATTTTAAGTTCTTTTTTATCAGGCACGTAGCCAGGATTTTGCTCAGGGAGGGGCCACAGGTCAGGTCGCAGTCTAGTGTCGTACCCCCTCCAAAAAGGAAAACTCCTCGGAATACGCCCACTATTTTTGTGGGTGTGGTGCCGCTGTTTTTATCTTTTTTTATTTTTTATTTAAATGAATTTTAATGTTTTCATTGGGGGCATTACCCCCGTGCCCCCCCCCCCTCCCCCTTGGCTACAACTATGTTTTTTTAATGCAAATATGAAGTATCATGAAATCCCAAAGCAATCAGATTTGTACTTATAGCATAATACGTGCCTAGGCATACCTATACCCACGGTGACTACCTATACCTATCACAAATCACAATCGCGGGTCGCGTTTTAGGACACTGTGGGGGTTATGCATCATACCATCCAAAAAGTTTTCCATAGACCAAAAATTCCTCAGAGTTCAATTTTTACGCACTGCTGTGCAGTTTAAACCAAACCTTTCCCATAAAAGTTGTTTAGTTTTCCACTAGTTTTCTTTTTATTCTCGAAAAAAAAACGTAAAACCCTCGTCTATTACCAGGGGCACGGGCGTTATTCCCCCCACTCCCAAATCCGTCAGTGATAAATCAAATCAAATAAGTGAGCACTATTCCCTGAACAAAATAAGCCCGATACTCATTACGCAACAGTCAACAGCCCATAATTTCCAACAGATAAAACATTTAGCAACATAAGCAACCAATGACGTCATATGATTTTGTTTGTTGTGGAGCCTCATCAGAGATTTCGCTGCTTGCCCCGTTTCAAAAGCAAGACCTTGGCGTCCAGGCGAGCCGGCTTAGTGGGTTTTTAATTTAGCGTCAATAAAAAGAAGACTTTTATGCGTAAAAAATATACTTCAAAGCTATCAGAACTTGAAGATAGCTGCTTTTCGATGTGCTTTTTTCATAGAATGAATTTTTGATTTTCAAATGTAGTGTGCTTTTGGGATTCACTCAAATATACTTTGTCGGCCCCCTGCGAGAGGCTACGCTGCGTGCAGTTGTCCAAAGAATGGCGGATGGAGGGGGATGGAGCCAGCCTCATTAAAATATCGGGCCACCCAGGTATATCTCTTTTTGTTTTATATTTTGATCTAATTTCTCTTTATTTCAGCTATTGTCAATGTGTCGGCTTTGGCGTTTCGTTTATCCGTTCTTGTAACTGGGTATTTTTCGAAGTTCGTTACTGCGCCAGTTTCGTATAAGATGATTTAGTTATTTTTGCAGGATTAAATAGATATATGGTTGAATGCAAATCAAACCCTCTGTGCTTTCAGTTTGATAGATGATCATTGCTTATTCTGATTCTGAATTACTCTTGATATCCAATGTTCAGTATTATTCAGTGGCAGTGTTATTCTCACCTGATGAAAGGTGCTGCACCTGTTCACTGGAAATATAGCTTTGTTTTGCTAGAATAAAATATTGAGTTTTGTCACTAATGCTGCTTAAAATGTCCTATCTGTACATATGTGATCAGGGAAGTTTGTGGTATGTAAAAGTAATGAGAAGCATGTGATTCACATCTTGCATTGTAAGGCTGACTTTCCTCAGGACTTATTGAGCAGTTTCCCGTTACCTAGGCTGTAAAATATTAAGTAAATATTTCAATGTCAATTGCACATGAAGGTACTATATAATACCTTTTTTAATTGACTACTGAAACACTAAAATAACGGAAAATAAAGATAATTCTGGTATTTCGTAAATCGTTCACCCAATGTTATGATATTGGTTATTTTGACACCAATAATTCTGATATTGGTGTATTCCCTAGGCTTACCACCTGGTCAAACTACTTGAGTGTGTGGTGTTTATCTTATGTAGTATAGCCTAGTCTAGCACAAATATTGTAGGTACCTACCTCATTTATTATGAGGAATGTTGATGGTGGCTGTTTGGTATGCAGCTTGCTTCCTTTTTTTCTGGCATATGGTTGCATTTTTTCCCTGAAAATTCTGGTGATTGCATTTCTGAAGTAGTACCAGCAAGACCCATAGTACATGTACCTAAGTGGATGTTATTAATAGCTGCTATTTTTACATTAGCACTGACTGGATGAAGATGATTAGTTCAGAATGCACCAGTAGCACCTTTTAACAGTGCCTATGTATTGGATCTTCCTCTTTTTACTTAGGATTAGGTTGGTCATGCGTCACTTTCAATTACTAATGCATAAATGAAACTCATTTGTCCACATAAAAAATCACACACATCTATTGGCACATTTTTGTGACTAAAAGTTGTATTGTTAGATGCTGATGGCAATTTATTTTCGATTATCATAAATTTACCATGACCCCCATGCATATGACCTGACCTGATCCGGACCTTAGTTTGACTGCCCAATCAACCCTAAAAATTGTTCCAATTCATTCTGGCCTTTCAAAACAAATGCTTATTTGACAGACTGCACAGCCTTGACTCATATATATATATATTTTTTTGCAGGTAGGCTTACAGTGCATGAGCATAGAAAGCTATGACATTGTAGAAGCACATTTGATGCCCATTTGAGATTGCAGTTGGTGGTGTAGTTTGCAACCCACCACTTGGTCAGGGGAGAGGCATTAAGCTTCCCAAGCTGATATATATTGAACTTAAAGTCCCAGCATTACATGGCAAATAAAAGCTATCTATAAGATGATTCTAACCAACCAGCCCTTGAAATTTGTCTTTGAAGCAATTGGTCAAGTATCTACTTGAAATATGGTTTCAACTGATCATTTTTAACATTTTTTTTTGAAAATTTTCATAAACTTCAGGCGTACAAAATCGATTTCTGAAGAGCAAGGTTCAGGCAGAAGTCTGTGCAACAATTTTTAGGTCAAGATTGCCAAGTTTTCAGTCTTCTATTGACAACATAGCATAATGCACAATTTGAACCTGGCTTTAATTGTTTGACACTAGATAAGCTATTTTTGTATAAAAAAAAATGCTTAATTTGCAGAAGTTTTTCTGTTATATTTATTGAATTTTGTAGTAAGGACATTGGATTGTGGCCATCATTTTTTAAGATGCACTGGATGATTTAACACGTGTATTGCACATAGAGCTTGTTTGTGCTGATTATGTTCCTCTGTTCTTTTTCAGCTACCATCTCTCGCTGTCTCACCACCAAAGACCGACATAATATCTCAATGTTCCATTGCAATAATTCAGGGCAGATAGTCAGTGTAAGTATCTCACAAATGAAAGAGACTTTCAGTAAAGCAATTGCAAATGTTGACCTGTGTGAAATCACTTTGTCATGCACAGGGCTGCGGAGTCGATGGATTTTCGGCGACTCCGACTCCGACTCCGACTCCGGCTTTCAAAAACCAGCTCCGACTCCGACTCCGACTCCGGGCAGAATTGTCGACTCCGACCGACTCCAACTCCCGACTCCGACTCCGCAGACCTAACAGGGCTGCGGAGTCGACAGATTTTCGGTACTCCGACTCCGACTCCGGCTCGGGTTTCTAAAATCGACTCCGACTCCGACTCCGACTCCGGTTACAACTGTCGACTCCGACCGACTCCGACTCCGACTCCGACTCCGACTCCGCAGCCCTGGTCATGCAACACATATAGCTTTACTTCTTGTGCCTGACTCTTAGTTCCTCACACTTAATAGAACATAGCTGTATTTGCAGTTTGCATAATTCCATTCCTGTTAATATATAGCAAGCAATAATTATATTATGTGCATTTTAGGCTACAGCTTGAATATTGCATTCATCCCTTTATATGTAGTAAAGCGTGTGTTTGTGTTTCTTTGTCTCTTCAGACGAAGGAGGGGAGCGAGAGCGCGGTCCTCGCGATCCATTCCAGGGCAATGGAGGGACGGTGCCACCTCGCCTCTGCCGATCACAACAAAGTGCCTGATATTAGGGTGAGTGACAGCTGACAACTGACAGTAGTTTACTTACCTACATAGGTACATAGATAACATGAATCATGATTCATGTTATCTATGCTACATAAATAAAAGAAGTGTTGCATGATATTGTTCTTCATAGCTCTTATGAACTATTGGGTGATTTTCCTTCTTTTTCCTTGGTTGGCATCATGTCACCAAATTTACAGTTTGCGAGTGTAATCTCGAGTTTCGTCGTGGTGCTTGTCCACCGCTTTTAGCTGAAATTACGTGTGCAACAATGCCACAGCCCATTAATGTTGTGTTACATAATGGCGAGAACTGACACGGCACAACAGTAACTAAGCAGTGATCCCGAACAGGCACATCCTTTTGACAGAGTACCAAGACCCTGAGAGATAAAACCTGAGACCCTGGCATTATGATATGCATGAATATTAAATGCCTATGGGATTTGAACTTGGACCCTGTCACATTATGTGTGACAATGGCTGGACGAAAGTCACGGAACGGTGTTGGCATTGTCGTTTTCGGTCTTGGTCCCGGAGAATAAAATATATCCCCTCCCTTCAGGATGCCTGTGGTAACAGTGCCCCCCCCCCCTCCCACCAGGATGCCTCTGTCGCAGCGGCCTCCCACTGTGAGTTGCGTGCCTTTCCTCCCTTCAGGAGCCTCCGGTAACAGTGCCCCCTCCCGCCAGGATGCCTCTGTCGCAGGGGCCTCCCACTGTGAGTTGCCTTTCCTCCCTTCAGGAGCCTCCGGTAACAGTGCCCCTCTCCCCTCCCACCAGGATGCCTCTGTCGCAGCGGCCTCCCACTGTGAGTCGGCGGCGGGCGCCACCGACTCGTCCGGGCCGGCCGGCGCCGCCCGGGGACGCGGAGCGAGTCCCCGTGCCGGCGCCGCCCGCCCATCTCCACACTCTGTGATACGCTCAGCGCCCGAGCAGCGCGCCGTGGCGGTGCTCTCTCGTGTGGTGCCGCGCGGCCCGGCCACCACCGCCGGCTGGCGGCTGGCGCCGTGGGCGCGACTGGTCGGAGGAGGAGAGTCCACTGGCGGCACGGGCACGGCCGGCTGGGGCGCCCCGCCGCCGGCAGCTACAGGAAACAGCGCCGCCGCCGGCACGGCCAACTGGGCTCAGACCGGCCCGCCGCCCTCTCAGTGGGGCAGCGGCGGCCGGCCGAACGGCGCGCAGCCATCTGGCGCCGCGCAGCCGCCGCAGCCCGGCGCAGCAAAGAACGGCACCGATCAGCCTCAGCAGCAGCCTCAGCAGGGGCAGGATCAGCAGCAGCAGGGCGGCGATCAGCAGGGGCAGCAGTCGGCACAGCCAGCCCAGCCCGGACAGGATGGGCAGGAGCAGCCGGCGGCCGGCGCGCAGGCTCAGAACGCCGGTGAGTGCCCGACAGACCGCCGCAGCTGTGGGTGGTACCGGGGGCGGTGGTGGCTGGGTCATGGTATAACAGCCGGTAGTGTCTGGGTCATGATGTAACAGCTGGTGGTGTGTTTTGGGTCGGTATATTCCCGGGAGGGAGGTGTGGGTCGGGACACAGCACGGTACACAGGTGCAGCGGTAGTTTAAGGTGTGATGAAATGATTTCACAGAGAACATAATGCTATGATAGGCGATAGCCGTTAGATGTAAACATTCCATTTTCACACTGGCGCGTGGCGTTAGCTGTACCGGAAGATGGTTTGTATCGTTTTTCTGGCTAGCGTTACCTAAATCGGCTTTTTCGAACTTGCTCTTCACGTGGCATTCACATCGCCCGTGTTGTTGATCATCGATTTTTATATATTTGCCTCATTTTGCAATGCATCTTATAAACACGCGGCATTGTAACGTTTTACATGTACTTATTTTTCTTGCGTCCACGGGGTATCACCGACAATATCCACATTACCCGCTTTACCTCTCACATGCTGTTTCTCAAACTAGTCCCCCTCTCCATCCATCAGGCTCGACCGGCGGCGCCGCGGCAGCCCCCTCCGGCGCCGCCGCCGCCGCCGCCGCCCCCGGCTCGGCCACGCCGGCGGCGGGCAGTGGCGGCGGGGCCGACTCGGCCGATCTGGAGCGTCTGAAGGCGATGCGAGCCGCCATCACGGCCACTGAGGGCTGGTCCAGCAGCCAGGTGAACCAGGAGTCGAGCTGGGACCTGCCGCCCAGCCCGGAGCCCAAGGAGCACCCGGGCAATGTGGCCGCCTGGAAACTACCCGGAGTCAACAATGGTGAGTTTGAGACGGGGAGAAAGGGCTAAGTCTGAGGGCGCTAGCGAGAGGGGACGGGGATGTGTTTGAGTGCCTGACGGTTAGTGCTGGCTGCTTAGACTAAATAAACATGTTAGCTGGCTTGTTTTGTCTGTCGCTGGACGATTATTCCCATATCACCGACGATTTTGCATGATCTTTAGGTTTTTAAATAACAATTGCACAAGGCTATGAGGTGAAGTTTTTAAGCAGTGTTATCAGGGCTGTGGAGTCGGAGTCGGAGTCGGTTGAAGTCGACAGGTCTGCCCGGAGTCTGAGTCTGAGTCGATTTTGGAAAGCGAATTCGGAGTCAGAGTCGGATTAACTGAAAATTCAACTACTCTGCAGACCTGGCAGTGCTGCGGAGTCGGAGTCGATAGTTCTGCCTGGAGTCGGAGTTGGTTTTTAAAAGCCGGATTCGGAGTCGGAGTCGCCGAAAATCCATCGACTCCGCAGCCCTGAGTGTTACTGCTGCCAGCTTGTTAGCTGAGGATACGCAGTGCAGGCCCTATTTCATTTATTTTCAGTCTCGTGCCGCCTGCCCAGCCGCGGCTGCGATTACATTGTTTGTGCAAGGAAATGGCGAGCCATATTTGCACGTGATAACAGCTGCGATAGCTGGGGGATACCCCGGATACCGGACTGTGTGAGGCGCCACGCCAGCTAGCGTAACAAATATTGTGTGTGCTTGTGATATATCGTAGCTTAGGCCAGTGTCGATTAGTTTATTTTGTTTGACGCTTATTCTCGAAGTTTAACGTCACGGCTTTCTTGCTTGCACTGATGTACTATAATTCCAGAAGGTCGTCTCCTCGCCCAAGCGTTAGCAGACTCTCTTCCCTTCTAAAACCTCTATCTCTGTGTATATCAAATTCCTTACTAAGCTTCCCCTCATGGCAATCCTGGACAACACTGCTCGCCGAAATTTACAAGTCCCCCTATAAGCTGAACCCCATGTGACCTCAATTCATAATATACCTTTGACAGGTCTGGACGTATGGCACGCCAATCTGCGCAACGGCGGTGCCCCGGCGGCGCGTGCGGCTGAGCCCCAGTGGGGCCAGCACATTCCCCAGTCCAACATCGGAGGAACCTGGGGAGAGGATGACGATTCTCAGGTGTGTACTGGGCTGATGACTGATGAGTGAGACGGCAGCAGGAAAGTGCTGACCGATTGATAGTGTTCTGGGCTAAGGACGTGGAGTAGTAAGACCAGCGTGGCTTGTTTCGAAGTTAAAACTGATTCTTGCGGAGCAATCTCAGCTTGAACATTCGAAGGAGCAGGAACTAGTGTCATAAGGGCTCCGCTGCAGCATTTAAGCGTTTTGCGCTCAGGATTGAATCCTGATCAAACTACTCAATACGTCATACGTGCCTGGTTTTTCTCTTTCACCGTTTAGTTTTAGTACCACAGCTGACTCCCCCATCCCGCCGGCAGGGCGGTAACATGTGGTCGGGCGCCCCACCGGGTCCCCCCGGGCCGCCCGGCTCCCACTGGGGCGGCGGCGGCGGCGGCGGCGGCCCGGGCGGCTCCTGGCCCGGTGGTCAGCGGCAGAAGGACGACTGGGGCGGCGGCGGACACAAGCCCTGGGAGGGACGCGGCGGCGGCGGAGGAGGATGGCCGTCCGGACCGCCGCAGCACGGCGGTCCCGGACACTGGGGCGCGCCCGATCACTCGCCGCCGGTCGGCAGGAGACAGCCTGGATTCGACGACTGGGGTGAGTCACGGAACTAGGCCCAAGATGGTAGATAAGCCTAAATTAAGCATATTGTGTCTTTAGTTTTACAGCTAATGACAAGTTTCAAGTGTTCTAAGTATTTAAGCTAGCTATCCCTATGTTTGAAGTTGATCAATAGCTCGGTGTGTCTTTTGAAGTTAGCCTTCCAGTCTAACGAATCGTTCCGTGCCACACCTTCCCCTGACCTGGTATAACCCAGCTCTGCTTACTTCTGACGCTCCCGTACTCGGCCCGCCAGCAGGTAACAAGCGAGGCGGCGGCGGCGGCTGGAAAGAGATGGGTCCGGTGCGCCCGGGGATGCCCGGTGGCGGCCCGCCGGCCCACCTTCTCTCCCGTCTTCCGCCCGGCGCCCCGCCCGACCACAAGGGCATCGACGGCTGGGGTCGACCCCCGCGCAACGGCTGGGGCGAGGCACCGCCGGGCGCCCACCCCGGCTGGGGCGGCGAGGATAAATGGGGCGGCGATGGACACCCCGGAGGCTGGGGCGGAAAGCCCAAGACCCCGACCGCTCCTGGCGGCTGGGGCGAGCCCGACATGGACTGGGGAAAGAGCCGCGTCGGTCCGGGTGGCCCCGGCGGCCCGGGAGGCATGCACCCGGGCATGAAGGCCGCCATGGCGGACAAGTACCGCTCGCTCGCCGACCGGCCCGACGATATGGAGGCGATGCTGCGCGGCGGGGACGATCCGACCGGTCCCGGCGGCGACTGGCGCCCCTCCGAGCCGGCGCCGTTCGACCCGCACGGTTTCCCGCAGATGGCGCCGCCACATATGCCCGGTATGCCCATGCAGAGTAACGGAGGCCCGGCCGGTATTAACCCGAGTGTGGTGCAGCAGCTGCTGCGTCAGCAGGCGCAGCAGCCGGGCCGCTTCCCCGGTCAGCAGCAGCCGCAGCAGCCGTCTCCTCAGCAGTTACGGCCGCTGATCAATCAGATTCAGATGGCGGTGCACGCCGGACACCTTAACCCGGCCATACTCCAGCAGCCGATGGGCCCGCACACTCTGATGCTGCTCAACCACTTACTCAGTCAGATCAAACAATTGGACAACCTGACTCGCCAGCAGCAGATGCTGGCCTCGCGCGGCTCCCAGCCGGGCCCCATGCAGAGTCTGCAGATGGAAATCATGCGTGTCAAGAGCACGATCGGGCAGATCCAGAACCAGATTGGACAACAGCAGGCCATGATGCTGAAGCAGCCTCCTCAGCCGCAGCCGCAGCCGCCACTGGGCGCTGGAGCGAGCGGTATGATGTACAAACACGGGCCCACTCCGCCCGACATGCACGGCCTGCCCTCCGGGTTAGCCGAGCTGAGTCTGCGCGACGGGGGTCCGCCGGGCGGCGCTCCGCCGTCCCACCAGCCGCCTCAGAGCCGGCTCAACCAGTGGAAGCTGCCGGCTGCTGACAAGATGTACCGGCCGGAGGAGGAGTTCTCGCGCGCGCCGGGGAGCGGCAAGGTAGCCTCGTCTCCGCCGCTGTCCATGCTGGGAGACAGTACGTGGTCGGCGGGCAGATCGGCCGGAGAAGGAGGATGGCCAGACTCGGATAAGGATGGTGGTTGGCCGGGAACCGGTCAGCAGCAGCAGCAACAGCAACAACAGCAGCAGCAGAACAGCTACGCTGACCTCGGCGTACCCGAGTTCGAGCCCGGCAAACCGTGGAAGGTGAGTTGTGGTAGGGGGATTTGCTTCAACTTCAGGTTCAATATTAGCCTGTTACTGTGAATCAACTTGCGATTTTTGTCTCTATGCTTGAGTCAAAAATACAATTGTTGCCCTTTCCTCGGCTACTTCATTCCATTTGTTGTTTTCGACCGACACAGAGCTCCAATCAACCCCTCCCCATATGCACCTGTGTGCAGATGAACCTTTCAGTATGGATGCTCTTGAAAACCAGGCATCACATCGACTTCCCTCCCGGTTAGCTTCACGACACTCCTCGGTTCGGCACGCCCTACAGCCCCGGTAAATTAAGAACCTTCTCTCCTGTTCTCCTTTGCCGCCATTATAATGTTGCTGTTTCCGACACCCTTATAACTGCCTTTGTGCCTATCACTAACCACTTCTATCCATCAGATGCGCGCCGTCGAGGACGACCCGGCGCTGACTCCGGGCTCGGCCCGCTCGTCTCTGGGGCTGTCGGCCGGCGCCGGCTCGCAGGACCTGCTCGGAAAGTCGGCGGCTCCTGGGGCCACCGATCCGCTCTCCTCCACATGGAGCTTCAATCCGAGCAGCAGGTATGGATGAAGGGAATGAAAAGTATGATAGCGAGCCGGAGGTTACGAAAAAGCAGGGTGCAGGGCGGCGAATAATTGTGGGCGAGTGAGAACCAGTGAACCTATGGCTTTGTTATGTAACCAGGGAAACGGTGGCTTTATGCTAGACTTTTTGTCTATGCACATACTTTTTATATTGTTGAACTGTTGTCCTGTTTCCATTCATGTTTCATAGTTTGTACACCGTTGCTATTATTCATTTCATTACATTCCTTCAACATTGTAGTTGCTAAGAGAATTCAACGCAATATCCAAGTCACACTTCAATTCACAACCTGAAATAACTCTGTTCGGACTGGAGAGCTTTGAACTGAAGACCTGCTTCTTTCCAGCGGAAAGCACGGCCTGGGCGGCTCGGCTAAGTGGGACGGCGGCGCCGACTGGGCCGTCAAGTCCCGCGGACCGCCGCCGGGCCTCAACAAGAGCGTGGGCAGCGGCGGTGGCGGCGGCGGCTGGGGCCGCGGCTTCGACCAGCGCTCGGCGTTCGCTCCCGTGCAGGGCGGAGGTGGCGGCGGCTGGGGCTCGCCCGGCTCCGCTTGGCTGCTGCTGAGGAACCTCACTGCTCAGGTGAGTGGTTTGGTGGAACGGAGGAAAACGTGGTCGTCATGTGTGGTTTTATGTAGTGGCGATGTTTGTCTTTTCCCCTGCAGGAGACTTATGCCGTTTGTCTTTCCCAGCATTCTTGTATTATTTCATTTATTGTTTGCTATGTTTGCTATCCGTTCATGTCATCCCAAGTATGTCATCCCAAGTATGTTTGTAATACCTTATGAGCATCTCTGCTTTAGAACTGGGTGAAAGGCTGAAAGCCCGAAGTGGCTATGGCTGCGTCCTACCTCCCTACCTAACACGCGAACCTCCCCGTGCCGCCCCAGCTAACATACCCTCCCTCCCCACCACCCTCAGATTGACGGCTCCACGCTGAAGACGCTGTGCATGCAGCACGGCCCGCTGCACACGTTCCACATGTATCTGAGCCAGGGCGTGGCACTCGTCAAGTACGGCTCACGCGAGGAGGCTGCCAAGGTATGACGTACTCTGTCGGGGATGACGGGCAATGGGCATTGAGAGCGGCAGGGAAGGGCTGGGGTGACTGGTTTGGAATCATCTTGTGGTCGCTTTGCCGCGTGTTTTTCTTCCCCATTTAATAAACCTCTCCTAAGTGGATCGCTTTGCTCCAGAGAACGGTTTTTCATGTTCTCTATCTTTTTGGGGTTAACCCTATTAGTGGCAGGCTCCTGGCTACCCCATATTAGTGGCAGGGGGGGGGGCTGTTTACGACCCCCCCCTTGATATCTCGAGATCTAACGGGCCGATTTTCAAAATTCAAACGGCATTCGATTTGGCTCAACGAGATCTACATTTCTAAAAAAAATAAAATTAAAAAATGTCAATAGGGGGGTAGAGGGGGGTAAAAAAGGGCAAATTGCAGATACATTTTAGACTGTTTATCACGGCCAGGTTTCTGAACCAATCTTAACGCAACTTTTGCCGATCGATAGAGAATGAACCAGGAATTCACATGGATCCTAAAAATATGCATTTTCAAAAATCATAGGCGGATACAGATCATTGAGATTGGGGGTACACAAAAAGTATAGTAAATAAGGTTTTTGTTGGTACTATTTCTAAAAAGGGTGGCAATGGTCTTGTTATGTTACAATTTTCTTATGAGAGAACGACTAAAATTGTATTGGTCATGCATAGGCGGTGTCAGGGTACCTATGTTGGGAGGTAAAAAATAACCCCCCTTTTTGGACGCCTGGATCCGCCTATTATAGCAAAAACGTGTCAAAAGAGGATGCACAATAACTTTGTATATGTTATCACATGATACCTTTCATTTACTGTTCGTAAAACTGGTGCAGCATCGTGATCTTCGCCCAAATGACTCGCTTCACGAATAGGACCCCCCAATTCCCAGTGCCCTGGAGCCGCCCCTGGTAAAGCTATGAACTTGAAATTTTCAGGGAATGTGCCCAATTTAGTTTTAGGAAAAGTCAGAAAATTTCAGCATCGTAGCTTCAGCGGTTTCGGAGATATTCCCGAAAAACCTGAGGGGTGGATAAAAACAACCCCCCCCCCTGCCGCTAATAGGGTTAAGTTGTCACTAACATTCATCCCCCTTTTTGACTCTATCGTTCGGGAGAAAATATGTGGCATCATAGTCGTCCGTGACTGCTTCTGACCTCTGCCCATCTCTTTACAGGCCCAGGGCGCGCTCAACAACTGCGTGCTCAGTAACACGACCATCATGGCCGAGTCGGTGACGGACGAGACGGCCGCCCAGGCGCTGCAGCAGCTCGGCCTACCGGGCTCGCAGCAGGGCGGCTCCGGCGGCGGCGCGGCCGCCAAGCCGCCGGCATCGGCCGCCTGGAGCGACATGGGGGCCGATTCCGGCGGGCTCGGCACGGCCACCAGCATGGCCTGGAGCAGCGGCGGCGCCGGCAACGGCACCCTCTGGGCCACCGGAGGGCTGGACGAGTCCGGCCGCGGCGCCGCCTACCTGCCAGAGGGCCTGCTGTAGGGCGCGACCGAGGCGCTCTACCCGCCCGCCGGCGTCTGCGGAGAGGAGTTATAGGCGGAGGTGAGCGCTCGGGCGCCGCACAGCCGCCCTCCAGTGGCGGGAGCACCGTCCACTCGGTGAGTGAGAGAGAGTTATAGAACAAGCATCCGTCTGAGTTGGCGCGACGGGCGCGCGCAGCGGCGCGCCGCGAGCCACTCGACGGAACCGTGACGTATTCGGCAGGACAGCAATACGGGACGGGCCGGTCCCTTGCACATCGACGCGTACACTCGACTGCGAGCTAGCAGTTGTCCTACCCACAGGTAAACCTACACGTACATGTACACGTACATACCGTGCCGCGCGGAGAAAAGAAAGAGGTGCAGTCACTGTGTACGTTCTGGAGATGCCAGTTGCCGGAGCGCCATTTGGGGCGCTACACCTGAAGCACGCTTATGACGCCTGCCCGACGGATAGTATTTAAGGCGAGTAATGTTGGCGGACGCCTGCTCAGAGCTCCGCCGGCCGGTGTTTGTGTGTGAAAGAGACGGGAGAGGGTGTGTGAATGTGCAGGGAAATGGCGCGTGTTCTGTTTTGGCGCGAGCAGACCGGCGCGGCGGCGCCACTGGACCAGGGTCTGCCGTCGACGCCAAGTGTGATCATTCGAGGGAGGCCTTGTAGGCGCGGCCGTCGCGCGCTGCACGGGTCACTGAGCCAGCCGCCAAGTCCGCCTCCTTGTCCCGCCCCCGCCCCCGCCCCCGCCCCCGCCCCCGCCCGGCCGCCGGGGCCGCCCGAGGCCGCGCGCTCGCTCCCGCCGTGTGTGATATTAGGTGTAAGTCGCTCTCGCCGGCTCGCGGTCGCTCTGAGACGGTGCCTTGCCCGGCGCCCGGGCCGCGGCCGCTACCAAAGAGCGCGTGCCGCGCCGCCAGCGGGCCGCCGTCCGACGGTCCCGTGCAGTACAAAACGATTCAGGTGAGCGCTCGTCAGCGGCCGGTGCCGGGCCGATCTCGCCGATCGTCTTTCAAGCGCGAGCCGCGGTGCCTCCCGTCGACGGCTGGGCTTTCAGGGCCTCGACCCAGTGCCAATGCCGGCCTTACGCGGACCGCCTCCCGACCGCTCGGTGTCGTGGCCAGGCCAGCCGACTCATCGGGTACTCCTCGCTTTAAACGCGTATCGTGGGGCTGTGTGAGCGCCGGTACCGCGCGCCACCGCTGCCGCCTCTGAGGGCCCGTCTCTCCGGGGGTGGCGGCGGTCCGGGCGCCGCGGGCCGCCGGCGCTCCGCCGTGTACGGTGCAATAATCGCCTCCAGGCCTGTCACGAAATTGGCGCGAACCGTCCGTAGTCGCGCCCGTGCCGCGGCGCGATATCAGCTTTACATATCGGCTGCCGGGGCGCGGAATACCTCAGGCCGCGGTTGGGCGGCAGCACTTCCTGTCTAGGTTAAGGTAGCTATAAGCGCGCGCCGCGTGGGCCGGCCGCGCGCGGCGGGAGCGTTCGGCCCCCGCCACGCGCGGCCGACCGGCGCGGCGCGCTAGTTAAGTTGTGAGTCGCCAAGACGGCGAGTTGTGAGCCTCCTGAGTCTGCGGCGCGCGGTTGCGGTGGCCCCGGCGGTTCCCCGTCACCCCTCCCCGGTTCCCCGACGCGCTCCCTGCCCAGATAGTGCCCCGCTCCTCTGTGATGCTTCTAGCCACGCGGCAGGTTTCTCGTGAACATGTCGCTCTCGTAATGTCTTGCCAATCTCCACTATCCTGGGACGTATCGTGGGGGCGCCGTTTGGGACCTGACTGGATTGTCGACCCGTGCCCTGACGCTCGTGACCTCCCTGGTCGAGGTCGTCCTACCTGTTTCTGAGATCTGCTCGCCCCCGACTGTCCACTGCCCGTGCTGACCTGGCTGGGGGATGTCCCGGACCCCGTGGTCCGACCGCCTTGGTCTCCGTGGTCTCCGAGAGACGCTCCAGGTCTCTGTGATTCCGAGTGGTTCCTGCGCGTTCTGTGACCCTCTCGTGGCCTTGGTCCGCCCCCGCTCCCGCCCCGCCCCGTCCCGTTCCGACCTCGGCCGACCCGGCTCCGCGGTCACTGCGGACGGCGGCGCCGCTCAGGACAGCTGGCGAGCCAACTGGGACCGCCAGCCAGCGAGCCGACTCTGTGATTGGTCGTCGTCCGCGCGGCGCGACCGGTGATTGGCTGATTCGCTTAATGGTGCGGTCTTCCTTGTCAGTACAAACGTTTACTTAAGAGCTGCTGGCCAGGGAGGATGGAACCGTGTTCATCGTGAAGAAAAACACTCAGATCTTGCTACAAAGGGCGCCGTGTCCTGTCGCGCGCGGTCGGTGGGGAGGGCCGGGGCGGGGAGGGGGCTGGCTGTGACAGCGCGCGCGCGCCCAGCGGTCTCAGAGGGCCGCGGCGCGCCCGCCCGCACTGGCACAGCTATGTGATATGCATTAGTCGAGCGGACGGGGCCGGTGGTTGGTTGTTTGGCCGCTAGTCGGGATAGTGGCGCTGGCATCGCGGGCCGAGCTGATCAGGGTGGTGTAATTCGTACAGTGTGGGTGTTGTGACTCACCCAGCCATGGCCGTGTCTGGTATAGAAAATGACGAGAAAAGCCACAAAAAAATCAACTAGGTTAAGGTTATTTTAGAGTAAGCCCCGTTTATGCGCGATGCCGGTTAGAGGTACGGGCATTCTCCAAGGTGGCCAAAAGGTTAGCTGTGTTTTTAAAGCTTTTGTTGCCTTCTGTTTGAGCGCGTGACCTGACCTGGGCTGACGGGCGGACCGGGGCGTGGCGCGGCCGCCCCCCTATGTGTGTTTGTGTGTGTGTCTGCGTGTGCAGTGAGGCAGCGCGTGGCGTGGCCGCGCGCCCCCTATGCAGCAGCGCGCGCGCTCGCGCGGCGACGGCAGCGACCTGCGTGTCGCGCCACCCTGGACCAACGAGTCGCGGCTGGCGCGCGCCTTTCACTGCCGCCCTACACGAACAATCAGCACCTATCATAATACGTGAGAGCAGCTAATCGTGTGCGCCACCATTGCCGACCTGATTGGCGCTGCCGGCGGCGGGAGCGCGCCGCTCCCCCGCGGGGGTCGAGCAGCGCCCGCCGACCGGCAGCGCCGCACCGCTGCCGGCGCCACCGGGCCGCTTTTTAAACGACGGTGTTCTCTTTTTAACCCGATGTAACTCTGGTCAGAATATCAGTATGCGTATAATACACGGTCGTCTAGGTGTACAGACTTGTTTGCTGACTGGATGCGAGATGAGGTGGAGACTGGAGTTGGGGAGAGCTGTCTGGAAACGGGCAAGGAGAGGGAAGTGGGGGCTGCCAGCTGGAGCGAGCAGCTGATGCAATGATGGTCCCATCGAGCAGCGTCGCGGCGAGAGATACTCTAAGTAGACTTGGAGAGATATAAAAAAGAGGGCCCATCAGCATAGCAGTCCATAGTCTTGAGCAGAGGGCTGACCCGTAGGTGCATTGGAGTCGTGACATGGCTTGGATTTCGGCAGCGGTAGGCCGCAGGACAGGAGTGAAAGGGTGCGCTTCACTGGGCTCCTACGACACCCTGATAAAAACTCATCCCGGTCTGGAAGCGAAGATATTTTCATTTTCGCTTGCTTCTGTAGGTCTCTGAAGTATGCCAGAGGCAGGGAAGAGAGGGGGCTTACAGAAATGTGGCGCGGTGACGTTCGCACCTTCGATTAACTGTGGTATAGGGGCTAGGTTGGGCATTTATTTCTTCGAACGCACAAGACCTTGGCCTCCATTAGAACCGCCATGACGGGTGATGGGCTTCAGGCATCCCGCATCGGGTTCATGCTATCATCCAGATGAATGAAGTTCAATTTCATTCAATAGCTTCAGTTACAGCCGTACAAATTCTGCTGTTCAGCGTGAGGACTTATTCCACACTGAATTATTCAGTGAATTATGCAATGAGTTTGCCATTTTTTACTACGCCCGGAGTTCTATAGCCTTGCTACGCCCCTTCGCCCTAAAATTTCTGCAATTATCTCAGTGAAATATTTTCGACAAATCTGAGGCATTTTAGACGTTCGAAGTTTCTAAGTCAAAGTATAAAATCAACTGTTTTAAATGACGTCACAGATTTCATGAGAAATTTATGAGGAATGAAACAAAAGGGTAGATACATAACTGAAATGCACAAGACGAAATGAACTTAAAATAGTATTCTTTGTTTTGAAACACAAATATTGAAATTCCTTACAAAGTTGAGTAAATTTTACGCAAAACATCAATTTTGTATGACGTCAGAGTAAAATGCTCGTGATAGATGAATCAGTGGAGTGATTATTTGACAGGGAGTGTTATTTTTCGCTTCATGAGTTATGTGCGTTTTGTTTTTGTGATTAGTTATTTCAACCTTCTGCGAATAATCGGATTTTTTAGAGGGCCACGGATCTGAATTGTTTTACGTTCCAGACTTACGTTGAGAAAGTCGATTTTATTTCATTATGGTAAGGAACTTGATAGGTTGAGGTGCCATGTTCATAGAATTCCTCATTATTTGTATTTGCTCTTTGATCTGTTGATTTGTCAGATTTGATATTTATCTGTCATTCAGGTGGCTGTGCCTCGATTTGTACTTAATACCTATGCTCTGTCAAAAATAATATGTGTCAAATAGGCCTTTCCCTTATTTAATCCGATGGACTGTAAATAGGTGGGTAGGTAGGTACACATTTTATTTTTGGTAAGCAATGAGTTTCCCAATTTAGATCAAAGTGCAGAGGTTGGAGACTGTAATGATAAATAGATGAAATGTAACGATTATCAATATGGCAACTCTGCATGTTTGGGATAATGATAAAAAATGTAGCTATATTTTGCATTTAATTGAAAGTGCAGCAGTTAGTAGGTAGGTAATAACACCCCTCAAGTGGTGCATTTGCTAGCAGGCCCAAGAGGCACTTTCTTTTGCTGCTTAAGTCATATATCTATTTGGAACTTGCCGTTATCAAATGTCAACTGATGCCTAATGAATGATGGGGAAAGAATATATTAGACAGATGCCACCTAGCTAGGCCCTAAAATATATGCATCTTGTGGGGCCCTGCTTTTCCAGTTAGAGCAAGTCACATTGGAGTAGCAGATCTGCTCCAACTTGACCTTTGACTAGTCACAACTTGAACTAGATTAAAGGAAATAGTTCACTTTCACGAAATTATTTTTTTTGCAATGGATTTATGATTTTTTATGTTCAAAATGATCAGCAAAGAAAATAAAACCTTTTTATAACAAAAGATTATTTTCTATATTTTTGATATAGGAAGAACTTTTCAGTTTCTGTAAGGCACACGCGATCCAGTATGAAAAGAGCATGGGTCCCGAAAATTCTTCAGAAACAGAGAAATTATCGCAGCCACCGGCATTTGGGCGATCTGCTCGATCTGATAATGTTCCCCTGAATGTCCTAATTGATCAGTACGAGAATTTCTCTAGAGTTCTCGTAGATAATTTCTCTAGTTTCTGAAGAATTTTTGGGACCCATGCTCTTTTCATACTGGATGGAAATATATGCAAGGCACACATCCTCAACGCAAGACACCTTTTCGGGACGAGAAATAGAATATCTTTGCCTAGGGTGATCGTTGGGCTGTAAAAGCTCCTGATTTATGCTCGTCTCAGCCCAAGCTACGGAACTGCTATTCCAGTTCAAAACCCATGTTAAAAAGTGAACTATTTCCTTTAAATATTGTGTGACCAATCTTTTTCTGATAATGGTTCTTGTTTGTGCTACAGCTAAGTTGATAGAGCATGTTTCAAATTATGACTTGCGAGAGCCCAAATTTGATTGCTCCCTATGACAAACTGATGCCTAACAGTGATGATGGGTGCTGGTGAGCTCAGTCTCAGTCATCGAATTCAGCGAGTGAGAAGGACCTCATTTAGCTTTGAATGGCATGTTAAACATTGGTCTTAAATCCTCACTACAGCCAACCAGCCCAGAATCGCCCAAACGAACATTTGGGGTCGGACTCTGCCAAGTGCCAACAGCCTCTACTTGGCATGGACAGAGGCCACATGTGCATTCAAGCATTTAAGTGATGATTAATAAACATTACCTGACCGGATGTCCTGCTATTTCAGTTGTGAACCGCCTCACAACCCGCCCACCTACAGAAGACTCCCTCACCACCACACGCTTGTGAGCACTTGCTGCTGCCAGGGAGGCGGTAATTCGATACCTGCCCTCGGCGGTAGTCGAGGAGTCGGTCCAGACCGACGTCACAATGTCCAAGCTGAAGCGAATGCGACTGACGGGGCCATGCTGTCTCCACTTCCGCTACTCACCTGAAGAGGTGGAACAGAGGATGGTCAGTCGACAGATCGACCTGGAACTGGATAAAGAGAAGAGGATGCTACGTAGACAGGTGAGAAGATTGGGTGGGTGGGGGGAGAAGGTAGAGGTGTGGTGAGGTGTGATGGTGAGATGCGGAAAAGGGGGATGATGGGATGAGTGAGGTGAGATGAGAGGATTAGAAGAGGTGTGGTGAAGAGAGAGGTTTAGAGACGATATCGTGCATTGTGGAGTGTGGGGGAGGGGGTCGGAAAGTAGAATGAGCTGTGCTGTTTTTTTAAGAACATGACTGGCCGATGGGCTGTTTCCTGCTCGTTTGGTGAAGCTCACAGTGTGGAAAAAATCGTCAGAATTCGAGGCTGTTTTGATTTCAACTTTTAAAACAGTATTTATGTTATCCAAAGAATCCTACAACTGTGGATGTCGCTGATTTGCAACCTCATGCAACGGAATCTCAATAATGCACTCATGACTGAGTTGAGTTCCTATGCGGAGGTCTGGTGTTTATTTGAACTATGAAGGTGTGGTACTGTCACCCCCCCCCCCCCCGACCCCCCTGGTATCGAACACCAGCTGTGATTGGCGAGCTGACCCAGACCAGTGTTAAGTGAGTATTGTTGCAGACTGTAAATCTACAAATAAGCACGCGATTTATTGCAGAGTCGTTACCAGTCCCATAAGCGAAATATGACCCGGTGACAGACAAGGGTGCTACTGTGTACTGCTTCTAATTCATGAAACTTCAGTGAAGTTTCCCGATAAACGGTCAACCAGTTGGTTACTTTTGACGATTTTATCGTTTTATGGAGTCGCCATAGTATGTCCCCGGTCGCTTTCGCGCCTTGCTTTCCGCAATAAGATCGATAAGTTGTTTTTCGATAAGAGGAGTTCACTTTTATTGCGTCCATGGAATAGCCTTGCCATGTTTCTTGCTTGATTAGAGTCATTGATTACTCATTCTCTTCGTTTAGTTCACCACTTGAACAGTTGAGCAATGTTATTGATATCAAAAGGGAGTTTTATGGAGCTCATGCATTGCGAATGAGCCTTTTGCATGAGGCCAGTTGTATGAGATTCCATCAGCTAAGTCCCTGCCCGGGTGTGGCACGGCACGGTGTCACGGTGTGGGTCCCGCCGCGTCGCCTGTTTACCCCCGCCCGCCTGCAGTTTGTGTTTGTGGTGGTGGTGCGTTTACGGCCGCCACCGGTACGTAGAGGCAGTACGCTGTGAGGGGGGAGGGGTAGGGAGGGTCCATGTGCGGGCTGCGGGGACGGTCGATGACGTCTTGACTTAGTGTGTCATGCTGTAAGGAAATGTGTGCTAGAATTCCGGGAGAAGTGGCGAAGAACCTTTGATGAGGTACAGGTGTATTGGTTGCATGAATTGGATTGTTGTTTGGATTTGTGGAGTTTCGTCTACGTTTTCACGGAATTGCATTTTGGTAAATCAACATTTCGCTCAACCTTGAGCTTCTTGTAAGTTCTTTGCCCATACGCCATGTGCATTTTCGTTCCACTCCAACTCAATGCCTTGCTCCTCGCTCGCTTCCCTCGCCCTTTGTTTCTTTCCGTGCTGGCTCTGCTACCGACACCTCTGTGACACCCGAGTGACACCTCCAACACCCCAGCGACACCCTTTTGACACCGCTCTTCTACTCTGTCCCCACAGGTAAAACTCCTGCTGCTAGGTGCCGGCGAGAGTGGCAAATCCACATTCCTCAAACAGATGCGTATCATCCACGGGTACGGCTTCGACACGGAGTCGCTACAAGAATACAAACGCATCATCTATCAGAACGTCGTGCGTGGTGTGCGCGTGCTTGTGGATGCGCGCGACAAGCTCGGCATCCCTTGGGGAAGCGAGGACAACGCGCCTCTCGGGGCTCACGTGATGAAGTTTGAGACGGGTGGCATGCTGGACACGCGACTGTTTCTCGACTACCTGCCGATCCTGCGTGAACTGTGGGCGGACCGTGGTATACGGACGGCCTTCAGTAGACGCCGAGAGTACCAGCTGGTGAGTGGAGAGGGAGGGATAATTAAATAACTGGACAGGGAATAAAATAAGGGAGGCCGATAGAAGAACTCTGGATGAATGGGGGAGACAATTATAAAGGACATGAATTTGGAGAGGGGTATGGAAATAAGCATTAGAGAGATAAAAAGGGAAGTTGTATAGCATTTGATACATGAAGCAATCGTTTCAAAACGTCAAGTATACGTATTTAGAATGTAGATATTTGAATGAGGTCTGATATCTGAGTGTTGATCACCAATGAAGCGTCTCGGCGTGGCGGCTTTCAAAGCCTGGCATTCCAAGCGTCCAGGTCTGATACGAGCCGTTTGCCGTTCGAGTATGGAGTCTCGGCGGCTGTGCCGAACCGAGTGGGCGGGTGGAATTGTTTATCGCAAAATTCCGCAGCGAGACCGGGCGAGGCAGGCTCAATGAGCAGAATTCTGGATCATGTTCCGTTGTTACGCTCAGTAAATGCAATTGAAATTGGCTGCGCGATTGTGGTTAGTTTAAACATTGATAAGACAATTATATGGTGGAATGGTGCTTGAGATCCTGTGATTGATGGTTTGTTAACGTTATCGAAATGCACGAATGAATTGAGATGATCAGTGCTGTGGCAGAAGTGTTTAATTTGAAATACCTAGAATAAAGCAACTGATGTACCACGGTCTGACAACGTCTTTGACTTTACGTGTCTCGATTCAATAGTTTTACGTGAATTACATAATATGCTAATTTGATCGTTTTAAGTTAATTTTTTACCTTTAATTTATTCTACTGACTAACATTTTCTCGTTTTTTATCTTAACGCCCCGCTGCCCCTTTCCCTTTGCAGGCGGACTCTGTGAAGTACTTTCTCGACAACCTGGATCGGGTCGGGGTCAAGGAGTACGTGCCCTCCAACCAGGACATCCTGCTGGCGCGCAAGGCCACCAAAGGAACCTTCGAGTTCACCATTCCCATCAACAACGTACCTTTCATGTGAGTAGCGTAGCTGCTGGTGGTGCTTGACGTGGTGTATGTGTGATTGTGTGTGTGTGTGTGTTTGTTCGACAATTTTATTTGACATTTTTTAATGTTTGAGGTTGTTTCCAAGACTGGAATGATAAAGGCAAGGTCGGTTGTATGTAATTCGCTTTTGTATCGGCTTCCTACATAGGATACGTTATAGAAAGCGGGAAACAGAAGCCCAGTCACGTCAAAAACAACGTTTGTAGGTTTACCTACAATCAGTTGCAAACTGGAGCAAATTCCGTTTGAATGGCCCGTTCCTTGCAGTAACTGCTTGGAGCAAAATCGGTGAAAAACTAGCATATGTTCACCGGTATGAAGGCCGTGGTACCGCAAAGTCCAGGCCCCCGGAGTGTTTTGTTGCATGCAGCTGGCCGCAATCGCCCCAATGGTATCGGCCAGTTCCACGTCACACAACCGAGCGCCTATCGCGTGACGTGAGTCGATCGGGGATTTCCCTCGTGGACTAAGGACGGCTGTTTGGTATGAGTATTGTCCAGCTCTCTGGCTGTTACTAGGGTTGCAGTGTATCCTGACTGTCGACCGTATACAAGCATAAATCTGCGTGTTTCTCTGACGAACACGAACAACAACTTTCCTCTGACCGTCACAGTCTATCAATCCTGTCCCTCTAACGTCCGGATTCCGGGGTACAGCGCTATCACCGGCCTGCCGAGGTGTTTCCTGGACCCGTAGCGCTAGTCGTTGCTCTCAATGTGTGCACATTGCACACTATACAGCCTCGTGACTCGTATTGTGTGCTGACCCTGACGCATGATGACGCGTCATGTACCACATGTGACGTAGATTCTATAGCAGCGGTCGGTGGTTCGCGGCGTGTGTGTGGTTGACTGAGGATTGACAGGACGGCTACTGCAGCGACAGGACGGCAGGACAACTGCTGTCCCGTTGTGCGCCTGTAGACGAATATGTGTGTTTGGGAGGGAGTAGTCAGTTAGATCCTCACATAGACCGATCGTCTAACTGATTCTACACACTAGGTGACGCGTTTATATATTTTGCTCATGAATATTCAAAATTATATCAATTGGATATAGCGGAGCTACGTCTGATGATATAGAATTCCCCCTCAGTCACTTATTTCGTGTCCTCTTGGATTAGGCTATATGATATGTGTATTGTCTCGTCTCGTCATTCCCTGGATTAGGCCGCATAGCCTCGCGGGCTCAGAGCTTCCCTTTACCCCCCCCCCCCACCCACCCACCCCTCGCCGTCTCCTGTCTCTAACATACGCCGTTTTCTGCCCTCGTGCGCCAGGTTTGTCGACGTGGGCGGCCAGCGGTCACAGCGCCAGAAGTGGCTCACCTGTTTTGAGAACGTGACGTCGATCTTGTTCCTGGTGTCGTCGTGTGAGTTCGACCAGGTGCTCATGGAAGACAGGTGAGAAAATTGGTGGGGTGAGAGAGGTGAGGGGCGGGGACTTGTCAGAGGCCAGGATAGGACAGGCCATCCTAAGGAGATGGGATCTGGGAGTGTTTTAGGAGACAGGCGAAGTGACAGGCTGGGAGGGAGACAGGCCGATAGGATATGTGTGTGTGGTTGATGTTGACGGCTATTTTCGTTGTGGTGGTGTCCTTGTGGTTTTGTGTTTGGCTTGTTTGATAATGAGGATGTGATGGCGTGTGTTTTTCCGTCAGCGTTTCATTGTGGTTCAGGATAGCAAGCAGAGGCCTCTTGCACCAAACTACCTAGCTAGGTAAAATCGAAAAACCGGTTTCAGAATAAGATAATCTAACGGTGGTAAATTTGTTTGCAATAGCCCAATACATAATGCTACATGTGATTGCTAAATTTTGCACATAAATTGTTACATTTGAGACTCGGACTGGGCATACGATGCAAAATAATCCGAGCGTTGGTGCAAGAGGATTTTGGTGCAAGAGGCCTCAGTTGTCTGATTTAGCACAAAGGTCCATGATACTGCGGGTTTTGTAACGACTTTCGTTTAAAACAAAAATTAGGGGACGGTTTTGGTGAACATAAAACCAATATATCTGAATGATAAAACGAATAAACCTCTGAATACTATCATTTTCATTTTACCTCAGCTTTAATCATAACTCAGTTTTTTTTTCTCAATAATCTTACTAGTTGTTCTCATACCTTTAAGTGGATTCGTTCCAATAGAGGAATGGTGTGAGTCACCATTTCTCCCCTTCTCAAAATCACCCCCTCCCCATAGGCGGCGGAACGGGGAGGGCACCGGGGCACCGTGCCCCCTTTGATTTTGACATTTTAACATTAGCCCTATGGGCGTTGCATGGAAAGAATGGGACCAAAAGTCGGCAGTGCCCCCCCCCCCTTAATTGAAGATGTTCCGCCGCTACTGGCCCTCCCCCTCAATCATTTGTCATCTCCCACATCCTCTGAGATCGAAAACAACCCCCTTAGCAGCGCCCGTAACATCACCATTCACTCTACACACGCCTGACGCGAGGTGCCACGGCCGGCGAGGAAGGTCGGGGACACATCCCTCTGAGGGCTCAGATCTGTTACATCAGCTGACCGGAAACCGTGACTGGGATTGTGGAGGCTCTGGGTAGAGGGGGGAGAGGAGAGAGGGTGGGCGGAAGGTGGATCGGTGCAGCTGAGAGCTGAGAGGTGGGGAAGATAGTGGGTTTCTTGGAATGTAGTGTACGGGTGGTTGGGAGGTCTTTATGCGCTTGACGTGAACTGTGACCTTGGATGGTGTTTTACTTTATGTGAAATATTGGGTTTCTTGCTGCTGACGTTTCGTCAAAATTCCTCTTTTGATTCATGAATAGGTGTACCTAATGACGATTTGTCGGTGAACTTTGCACACGCCACACTGCGCAGCGCGCAGCCCACTTACGTCTTAGTTCATTGATAAAATACAACCATCCACCCTAGGGTTAGGAAAAGTGTTTATTTCCCAGAAGCCAAGTAAAAAACATCGAACAAGATCCAGTATCAACCCCAACACATGCACTCCTATTCTAAACTTCAGTAGCCGCAAACCATGCACTCAAACTTCAAAAACGCGCACAGTGGTCGACAAAACTATCCCCCGGCTGGCACTTCGACCGCCCACATCCACCATAATAAATCCAAACATCAGTCAGAACCCAGAACAAGTGTCGCTGTGTCTGCTGATAGAATCCGATCGCATTCCAGGCATTCCGCGCGAGCCATCGGTTTAAACAAACCGGTGACACGTGCACTGTGTATAGACTGCTCCCTTCTCTAGTGATGCAACTTCGCAAAGTTACATCATCCATGTTTGCGGACGATGCATTGCTTTGTAAAGTCTGCGTAGGTTGTCGTAAGCAGAATGGTGTCATTCATTCAGTCTTTAGCAAGCTAAATGTTGATGATAATTTACTGAACAACGTTGTTTGACACAACTGTTTTCGTTTTGTAATTGTAGATTCACAGGAGGATGAACAGTGAGTTGAACATCACGGTATGAATCTGTGTACATAGTACTCATTTATGATGACGGAACGATGTGTGGCATGGCTGGTTTTTATTGGACATGTATTGTAGATGAAGTGATGATTCAGAAAATTTCGTCACTATTTACATGGGTTGAGAATGCGATGCTGTGCTTATTTTACACTGCATGTCCAACTGTTGCAATCCTTACGATTGTTTCCATCCGGGTTTTGAGTTGGTTTTTTCACGCCCCTACACTGTTATGTCGTTGTCCTTAGTTGATAATTTAATCACGTTTTTCATGTTTTAGCGTACCATACAAAGCTAACCGGCATTGATACCAATTACCAAGTACCTATGTCTGATGGTTGGTTTGAGTTTGTGCATCGTCACGATCGACATGTGGTATTTCTTAATCCCTCTTTTGATGGATCATTGACTTCACCTTCTTATGTATAGTTATTGCTTTCCTATGCATCGTAGTGATACATGGCGCTATTGATTTGACCGAGCGTCAATGTCAGAAATAGAATACCTATAATTCAAGCTTGAGCTCGGACTTCTATCATACCTACTTCATTTATTCGTTCACCTAGGTCTAATTGGACGTACGGAGTGTTTGCCATTCTCTTCTTATGATGTAAGCTTTGCATGTAAGCTTTTTCCACAAAAAGTTATTCTCTTTTCGCTCTGTTCCAACCTCAGTCAATATCTCCCCTGCGCGACTCCGCCGTCACTGCCATCTCGCGGCCTGACTGCAAACCTCTACTTCCACAGACGGACGAACCGGCTGGTAGAGGCGCGGAACGTGTTCGACACCATCGTCAACAGCCGCATCTTCCGCGAGACCTCTGTGATCCTGTTCCTCAACAAGACTGATCTGCTGAAGGAGAAGGTGCAGCGAGCCGACACCGACCTGGCCGCCTACTTCCCAGAGTTCAGGGTAAGTTTGAGCTGCTGGATAGGATTCGTGCAGGAGCTCCGCCACCGGGGATCGCGGAGGTCCTGACCCCTTCCCACCGCAATAATTTCGCTTCCTAAGGCCACCCAATTTATAAAGTGATGTATTTTCAGGTCGGACCCTCCCCTCCCCTCATCCTGAGATTGTGGCAGAGTCCCTAGATTTGTGTTTTGGGAGAGATGTTTGGCTCAGATATGCACGGGTACGGGTAACGTGGTAAGATGGATTGTGGTGTCGGGAGTTTGCATGATGCTGGTACAAGGTGACTGGTTGGTGGGTGGTTGATGGGTGGCTGGTGGGTGTTTGAGTGTCGAGCGGAGTGGGTGAATGGGGGAGGATGCATGCAAGTTGGCGAACGGGTAAGTGAGAGGATAAATTAATAATTATAGCATGTGACGCGAAGTCGTGAAATTTTGCTACGTGTTTATAGTGCAGACAAACGGATTGAGAAAAGAAGGTGGATGACGTCCATCACATCATAACGCACATCACTCAGTGGTGGTTTGCAGCATCCATGGACATTGTGCAGTGCGCATGGACGTGAGTCCAGACTGATCGTCTGCCTGACAGCACGTTCTATTTGGTCTGGCGAGTTTTCCAGCTCAACTGTTTGTGTTGGTAGCAGGGTGATGCCAGCTACAAACGCGTGTTCGTGTTAATGGCCATTCAGCTGGTATTGATGTTCGCTGCCTGAACGTTTTTATTTCTTTAAATTTTGCCGTCAGTTCCTAACTTCCTGTACCCGACAAAATAAACTGCCCTTCTACCCTCTTACCTTGTCCATCCTTCTCCACTCCTCCCTTTCTACTCCCACCCCCACCCCTCCCTCAGAAGGTGATAAAGACAGGAAACACTCCAGCTCATCGCGGACAGGCAAAAACATGACATGAACTTGGCGACCTGAGACTGTGACTCAATTGGCGCTACGCCCGCCTTGTCCGTAGTTGCTAATGTAAGCGTTTCACGTAGTCGGGGATGCTCTGGCGCTTCGCTGTTTTATGTCACACTTTTTCCGTATCTTTTTTTCTGGTGTGTTTTGTGTCCCTATCGTCCTTGCTGAATGTCCACAATTCCGAGTTTTTTATCAGACTTGAATCTGTTGCCACCAGCATGGTTACTACCCGCCTTTAGGCCCGGTGACTCATGCCTGTCTTGTTACTAGTCGAAGCTGAAATAGTCCACTCACCCCTGACTTCTGTGGAGTTTTTACGTCATCGTTACGTCACCAGTTCGGGACTGAGCCCATCGCTTCTCGCTGTCATGAGACGCTCGGGACAGAGTCAGAAATATCTGGATAGCGCTGCGACGGATTCTCCCCGTAAATAGCCGTAAACAACGCAATGTCGCGAATGTCAGAGGCTCCTTGGATACCTACCTGAATGACATGGCTGTTCGTTTTATCATTATATTTATTTTTCTGAGTAACCGAATTTGGCAGCTGGCGGGTCTTAGCTAATTCCTTATATGTTCTGTTGTTTCAAAGTACGCGTCTCGTGACTTTTACTAACCGCCTTGCCGCATACTGAAGAAGAAATGTTAACGAAGACAGCATGGGTTGCTTTGGGCCTTGGGTTGCACGTTTGCTCCAGTTTGCTCCGTTTCTGACTCATTTTTAGCATGACGCCCCGCTTTCCCGACTCGTGACAGTGCGGGACAGTGCGCGAAAAGAATTTTAACTAACAATCAATTTTGGTGTTTGGCTCTCCATTTCGGCAATGGCAGGGTCCACCAAGGGATGTATTTATGCTCGCTATCGATTGCAAGACGTTACACACATTAATCATTACCATGCAGGACTCTCTTCTGCATGCTAACCTTGGTAGTTATTGTAAACACTAACCCGTTTGGTGAAGTGCTTGCTGGGCTCTTTTGGCTAATTCGATGTCGGCTGGTTTTGGGGAGCTTGCCAAATGGCCTAGGGGTCACCCTGAACGATCACGCACAATTTTCGATAAACAGGGTAGTTTGGGATTTAAATATTGAAATGCGTGGCTGCTGTCTAATTGTGAGAGGATTGTTTGGTGCGCTTAGATTCTGCATATGACTACGAAGTACGACAAGCAGATCCGGTCACCTTTCTTTAAGTTTTGTTTATTTTCATCATTGACAAAATTTAAAGGTTTTGTGAGGCTCAATGTATCAAGCATACCATCATTCGTGCCCCATTCATGACGCATCTACTATTGTTTACGGATCCCGTCACGGGGTGCTGTGGGTCAGGTGGATGTGCGCAGAACGTCGCAGGAAGTCATGTGCTGGGTGGGCGGGGTCGAAATCACGGGATGCGTGAGGCCCGCTACTACTAATATGTGTCCCAAGTTGGTGTCTTCCTTGATCTGCGCCCTGTCTTCTAATTACGCCACTGCTGCCCTGACAGCCGTGACCTGCGCCACGTTTCCCGGTGACCCAATTTGGAGGTGAGGCGTAGCACTGGTGTGGTATTTACTGTTTACTACGCCCCGTAGTGCGCCTCCCGCCGGCCCTAGCCGGATGTTTCTGGATGCGAGCGGACCGGTGATTTCCGGATATTTCTGGTGTGGCGGAGGTCGTTCGCAAGCGTTCGCACGGGTGCACTTGAGGTGCACTTGTGCGGTAGACCGTGTCCCGCTACCTTGGAAATGCCGTTCCTGAAAGAAATGCATACCTAAATTCACTGTAGTAAATATAGTCATTCATGATTTGACAGTGATATTTGGCTAGGTAAATTCAATGAGTTTGAGAGCTGATTATGCACTAGTAGTTTCTACAAACTTATGACATCAGTGGGCATAGTTTCTCATGGGAAGCCGTATATGATCGATATCGCGACTAGAGACCGTTGTAATTTGTCGTGATTGTCGTATTCGGGCACAAATTAACTCCGAATCGCGTTACTGGCACTATCCTTTATGGTTCTATGGTTTTTTCCTACGTAGTAGCCGTTCTTTCATCATAAATTTCCGTCGCTGTCTCTACCCGTCCATCCCTTCCCCTCTCCCTATCTCATGTTTCCACACAACTGACCGCCTCTCTCGGCTCCGTCAGGGCAACTCACACAAGCTGGAGGACGTGCAACACTTCCTGGTGGAGATGTTCACGGCGGCGCGGCGGGAGCACAAGCTGCCTCTCTTCCACCACTTCACATGCGCCATCGACACGGAAAACATCAAAGTCGTCTTTAACGGCGTCAGGGACACGATCTTGCAGCGTAATCTCGACACACTGATGCTGCAGTAGCGGAAGACGGTGCTGTATGTACAGGGACGCTGATATATCGCTGTTAATTGCTGCGTTGCCGGAGGTGTTGCGCCTCAGTGGTCACGTGTGTTACGATAACTGTGCTGAGGTTATCGTGTATCACAGTGTGAGTGTGTGTTCGTTTGTGCTCGTGCTACTCTCCGCAAGACTCGAGGCATTCTTTACCAGCGGTGCCGCGCGCAGCGCTGTGTCTGGAGGCATTTATACGGCGGAGAGCTGCTTTGAGTCGGCGGGTGGTCTCCGCCCAGGCCTTTCTTGCGATATTGAGTGCTACAACTCGTGGCAATGATTGATCTAAGGCCGACCAGCCACAGTCTAGGGTCTGATAGAGATCTGCGTCTAGATTCTAGTTTCAAAGGCAGTCAGTTGATGTGTGGATTGTGAGCGGGTAAGACTGAACTCGTTTGCTGTTCGAGCGAGTTCTCAGCGGTCCAAGGCGACCGGCGCGGCGTTCGCCCATACTCACCCTAGCGCTGCCACAGCCGCCGCGTCCCCGCCCGCCGCTGCGACCAGCCCAGTGTAATGTTTTGATAGTGGTGACTGGCGAGTCTTAGCGCCGGACTCCTGCTAGCAACGACTGATGTGTTGAGTTTACGGCGTCGGCGGCTGCCGGGCGGCGCCGCTGTCGCCTCGTTTTTGCGTATATGTTTATCTTTGCCGGCCAAGGGCGCTGGTGGTGCCCAGTCGTTTTTATCGCCTATGTTATATGATGTTGCCCTCTGCCGGGTGGGGAAGGCTGGGTCGGGAGGGTCGCCGGCCCCGCCAGGGGCGCCGATAGCGCTCTTTCGGGGACGGCGCCGGGTGTTATTTTTGTACGCATGCGCATTTCACGATCTGACTTTGACCAGAATCCAGTCACCGACCAAACTCTGAGAGTGCCTTGTGGGCGCGGAAACGGGGCACAGTGAATGAAGGCTGTAAGTTTGCGCCGCAAGCGAGTGTGTGTGAGAGAAGGGGTACTATATGCCAGTGTTACTATTTTATTGCCCATACCTGTAGTCTGTAGTCGGTCGGCGGGGCACCAGGCCGAGCTGCGACGCTGCCAGCGCGGCTGTGGCCGTGCCTGTGACCGAGAGAGAGCGGTGTGGGGCCGAGCGTCTGCGCGGGACCGGCCCCTGTGAGCCCCTCTGATCTGCTGATGCTGCGCCGTAATACACTATACAGTCGGCGCCGTGTGCCTGGAGTGGTGGAGAGAGACGGGATGAGTGGTTTGATGCAGTTCAAATAAGGAATATGTTACTAACTACTTGTCATCAGTGTCGTCAGAAGTCTGACGTGTTTTAGGGACTTGTGTTCTGTTTTCTTCGAGTGAGTTTTGCACGTCAAAAAAGTTCCGGGAATCCAATGCGACCCTGAATCTCGCTCACCGTTCTAAAAAAAGACCCATTCAGCGGAATACGCAGGATCCACCAATGACGACGGAACTGTTACACAGTCAACAAACAATGCCCCCCGCTACTACGCACTTGTAACTACGCCGCTGTCGTACACACTTGTCACGTGCCTCCAGTACGCGGCGCATCTGTAGTGTCTGGCGCTGTAGTGGGGAAGGGTGATGGGAACACCCGGCTCGCGGAGTCCGCCCGCCCTGCCCCGCCCCGGAGCCAATGCAAAACACTATACACTACACAGGCTGTTGTGGGCCCAGTACCAGATATAACCGGTTGGGGAGCGGTGTGGCCCGCCTCGGGTCACTCGAGGTCGTGATTTATGGTGGGGCCACCGGGCGGCGCTGGTAGCTGATCGGAGTGCGCAGGCGGCCGCGTCAGTGTCGATTTGACGTCGGAGGTGATCGGTCGAGGGGTGCGCTCAGTGGTAGTGTGTCGTCTCCCGACATCGGAGATTCAGGTGGGTGGGTGGTCCGCTGTTGCGGAGCGGGGACGTGCCTCAGTGGGGCTAAAAGCGTGAGGTACACGGTAAAATGTGCATCCTGCGATGAAGGGTTGACAGGAATGTATAATTACTTTGTTTTGAGTTGATGGAATTAGGCAGCAATAATCAAGCCGGGCGTACATATTTTCTCCCCAGTCGTGATTTTCTTTCTAGTTCTAAATTGCATTAGATGTTTTGCTAGTGTTTTTGGTATTGAGACACATTACGTGCCTTTTTGCTTCGTGCCTTTCAGTCTGCGAGGTGTAAAAACAAAAAGGCATAGCGTTGCCTCCTGTGCTGCAGAAAGCTGCCTGATAAATATTGCAGTAACTTTGTTCATGATGTCAGACACTTATTGCGCAGCATATACGAAATTGTATCGATCTCTCTCAGCGGCTAAAGCGAAAATTATCGAATTTTAAACGGATCCAGTAGGAAATCAGGTAATCAAGGGTTTTTAAAGGGTTCATTTAACAAATTCTATATATTTCTTCGATTGATGTCTGATGATTCTCATTATCATGGTGAGATGCTCGTGGAGGCCCCTTAATTTGTTGAATCAAGTTCTTGCTATAGGTACTCGAGAGTCGAGACTGAAGTCTAACCCCGAAATTTGTTTAAGGGCATCTAGGCTAGGTAGGTAGGCATTTGCCATTTTATTTAATGAAATTAAAGGGTTCATTTCTGTAAGCATAAAATGGAAGCTGAATAACATATCGATTGGTGTTTCTGGCAATTTGAATTGTCAGGAAGCTAACACTGGGTCATTAATTCCAGACTGATAATGAAGGGGGCCTTCTTAACTTCAAGAGTGGTGAGGAAAGGCCTGCAGGCATCTACACTGCAGGGTAAGTATCTAAAATTGTTAAAGTTATGCTTTTGAAGCATATTGAGCATTTTGTTTTGTGGCATTGCTGCTTCTCCATCTCATCTTTAACTCACGTGCATTGGATATTCATCTGATCTTAGTTTGCATTTGGCCTTTGACATGAATCTCCCTTGTTGTGATTGTGTTTGTTAACTCGTTGGAATTGTCTTATTTTAATATTCAGGCTAGTTAAAGTAAGATAACTGTATCATCATGAGAGGCCTGAAGCATTACAGAATACAGCATAAGGCTAACAATAAATGCCCATCTCTTGCAGCCCGGCAGAGGAGCTCGCTGCCGGAGCAGGCTCACCAGACTGCCAGTCTGGTGCAGGGGGAGCCCAACTATCCAGTGGTGGCCACCGCCATCCCTGGTCCAAAGAGTCAGGAGTTGATGAAGGATCTCAATGATATACAGGTCAGTCATGTTAATGTAGTGACTTTGGGGCTGACAGCATCAGCAATAGCGTGACTGAGCTGTTTCTGGAAAGTTGTATGGTCTGAAAATCCACTATTTCCTAGGCGAATGCATGGACCGGCTGCTTTTACACTCAATGCTTTGCTCTGACGGGCGATGTGTCCGACTTTTTGCACATTTAAGCTCATTTAAATGCAACTTGGGCACTACTTCAACCGTCGTGAGGACGCAACGTTGACCCTCTTTAGATGGAACAACACAGACATTAAACAAGAATGGTGAAAATTTCCCCCTTACGGACGTTATTGTTAACAGACATTTATGGCAGACCTATAGCAATGTCCGGCCGTCGGCGATCAAACTGAGATTGTTGCTAGTTAGTCAACAAAGGACAGTTCTTAGTTGATAATAGTGACGAAGTATGTTTGAGTGAAAAGGAAGTTCCCACAAAAATGAATCGCGTGTGTCGTAGCCCACTTGGCAGAGTTACTTGGCAGCGCCCGTAGGGCTCGCAGCCAGCTGGCAGGCTATGCTCACGTCACGTGAGAGGCGAAAAAAAGCAAATAAACCAACAAACTGCGGGCTGAGGATATTAGGCTCGATTGGTGCGCCGCAAAACCGCTACTGTGTGTGTGAGCTCGATAAAGGGCATGATTTATGCATTATGCAATGTGGCTGGTTATTTGGGGAGTTGACTTGGATGAAACTCTCCAGATATGTTACCAACAAACCAACGTAAATTGTGTGAACCTGTCTCAGCCAGTACAAAGAAAAATAGGCTTCAGACTTAAACCGTTTTACATGTCGAAGCGTACGGGTTGTTAAGATGACGAAAGAGCTACAATCTATCGTGAAATGCTCCACATAACGACGCTCAAATAATGTCCGTCTTTAGATAGAATAGTTTGCAACGACGGTGATGATTATGATCGAGAAATTATCCAAGCATACTCCGTTGTTGCTCAAACTTCATGCCTCTGTTAGCATTGTGAGTTCTGACCTCTCTCCCCGTTTTTCGTCGTCGACAGGCGGTGGGCAGTGTGCAGTTTTTCGTCGACTACGCCCGCTCGCTGGGTAACTACGTGGCTGACGTGGACGGGAACATTCTGCTGGACGTATACACTCAGATCGCCTCGCTGCCGCTGGGATACAACCACCCGCGCCTGCTGCGGGCCGCCCACAGCCCCGAGATGACGGTACGGAGGGCTGGGACGGCGCAACATGGGGACGGGACATCGGGATGGGGCTAGTGACAGAACCTCGAGATGACTACAGCGCTAGTGGACGGGAAATAATTTGTACAGATATTGTTGACTGTAGACTGTAGAGTTCCAATACTGTTTTTTCGAAGAAAAAAAAAACGGTGATTTTCCGCGTCATTCCCCTTCCCCTCCCGGTCTGATAGCGTTACCTACTGTGTCTGTTACAGCTGGCGTCCGTCAACCGTCCCGCCCTGGGCTCGTTCCCCTCCCGGTCTGACCGCTATACTGTCTGTTGCAGCTGGCGTCCGTCAACCGTCCCGCCCTGGGCTCGTTTCCCTCCCGGTCTGACCGCTATACTGTCTGTACACCTGGCGTCCTCTCCCCGTTTCCCTCCCGGTCTGACCGCTATACTGTCTGTTACAGCTGGCGTCCTCTCCCCGTTTCCCTCCCGGTCTGAGGCCTATACTGTCTGTTACAGCTGGCGTCCTCTCCCCGTTTCCCTCCTGGTCTGAGGCCTATACTGTCTGTTACAGCTGGCGTCCTCTCCCCGTTTCCCTCCCGGTCTGAGGCCTTTACTGTCTGTTACAGCTGGCGTCCTCTCCCCGTTTCCCTCCCGGTCTGAGGCCTATACTGTCTGTTACAGCTGGCGTCCTCTCCCCGTTTCCCTCCCGGTCTGACCGCTATACTGTCTGTTACAGCTGGCGTCCTCTCCCCGTTTCCCTCCCGGTCTGACCGCTATACTGTCTGTTACAGCTGGCGTCCTCTCCCCGTTTCCCTCCCGGTCTGATCGCGTTACTGTCTGTTACAGCTGACGTCCTCTCCCCGTTTCCCTCTCGGTCTGACCGCTATACTGTCTGTTACAGCTGGCGTCCTCTCCCCGTTGGCCTCCCGGTCTGACCGCTATACTGTCTGTTGCAGCTGGCGTCCGTCAATCGGCCCGCCCTGGGCTCGTTCCCCGACGCCCGCTGGCCACAGAAACTGCGCTCAGCCCTAATGTCGGTACGTAACGCCGCTTGCAACAGCTGTCACGAATACACAGGCATACAGCCGCAGTCCCCTGCATGTATCGCTCCCTGTACTTCAGAAGTTCAAGTGGCATCCGTTATCGTTACGTTGCGTCGCACTTTTGTTCGGCGCTATCAGTCACATTATTGATCTCCTGAACTCACGTTCAAGAGATCTATTGCAGCCTACAATGTGTATTAGCTATTATCTATCGTTAACGGTAAAGTAGGGAGCATTATGATCAGGTGAATTAACTAATGTGGCGGGAATATTGCCTGCTACACAGCTACTGCTCGAATAGTTGTAATAGTTGTAACGCAATCTTAACATTCCAAGCTGTATTCAGAAACTCGCCTTGGTGTGACAGACGCTGAAAATGAAAGTGTAATTACAATGATGCGTTGCGAAAAACGCTCTGACGCTACGAAATTTGCGTCTGCATCTGATTGTTCCACACATTACTAGGCTCTAACGCCACATTTATGCCAATTTTTATCAAAGTTTCTTCTGTTCGTACCTGATCCCGTTTGACGTCTGTAAGTACGACATTGTGTACATTAGACAAGTATCCATAAGCTATCCATCCCAGATATTCCTATCAGCTCATGGTTGCGTGGAATTTGTCGACATTTCTCTAACTTCTATCTGGTGTTCGTGTGAATGCTATTACGTCATTTTCAAACACCGAACTAACTACATGACCGCAAGATCACCGAGTAACAATGACCCCGATGTCCTCTCGGTGGGTGTGTCACGCTCTGATGTTAGTATTTCGCCGAGTCTGTTTATTTGTTGGTCCATTTGAGAGGTCACGATCACGTGTAGCGGCGGCTGGGAGCTGTCAAGGTGTTTGTAAAGACAGGCCGTCGGTTGACGGTCATCTGGTGGCGTGACTGGGGGATGGGGCGTGGGAGGGGAATGATGGAAGGGGTGGAAGGGTGCTACAGTTCCACCCCTCCCTCCCTAGGAGAGGGAGGGGTGGCGGGGTGCTACAGGGGCACGGGGATAGCCACACATGTCAGCTGTTTTACTAATCCGCATTATATTCAGTCGAGAGACGCCGAGTATGTGCGTTATGCCTGACGAAGTTTTATCTCCTGCCTCCCGACAGGTGGCTCCCGAGGGAATGACAAACGTACAGACCATGGCCTGCGGCTCCTGCAGCAACGAGAACGCCTACAAGGCTATGTTCATCGTATACAGGTAAGTGGGATGTGGTATAGACGTTCTAAACTGATCGCGTAATGAAATTTATACAGGTGTTGCACTGATGTGTGCTGGTAAGAGTGAGAGTGGGTGGCCGATTAACGCTCCAGCAGCTTGACCTCAGCCGTCACCCTTTGCCTACTAACTATTCACCCCCTTCCTCAGGAACCGCCAGCGCGGCTCCGAGGACCTGCCTCCAATCGAGGACCAGCAGTCGTGTATGCTGAACCGCGCGCCCGGCAGTCCTTCCCTCACCGTCCTGTCGTTCGAGCACGCGTTCCACGGCCGCACTCTGGGCTCGCTGACCACCACGCGCTCCAAACCGATCCACAAAGTGGACATCCCGGCGCTGGACTGGCCGGTGGCACCGTTCCCCATGTATAAGTACCCGCTGGACCAGTTCGTCGCGGAGAACAGCGCTGAGGATGAACGCTGCCTGCAGAGGGTGAGAAAGAGGGGGAGAGAAGGAGGGAGAGATGACGAGATGTCCGCAGAGGGAAGAGAGGGAGAGTGGAGGGAGGGGCTGTGTTTTGGGCCAGGGGTGGGCGGAGATGGTTTGAGCAAGATGCGGAGGGTGAACGAACGGGATGGAGGTAGCGATGAGTAAAATAAATGTTTTGACGGAGTACCAGGATTAGGCTGGTAGAAAGTGATAAATGGATTGCTAGACATCATTGATTGTATCGGTAAGGAGCCTTTGTAACGAGAGAATAGAGGGATTCTGTCAGTACAGGTCAGGCCGTTGATAGTATTTTTGTGCTTTATAGCACCCCTAAACTAAATTTAATATTTGATCTACCGTCTTTTTATCTGCGCCATGTTCTCACTTGTAGACTCACCTGGGCTATTACCACGCATATCCGCATCGACAGGCCGAGGAGGCGATCGAGGAGTACAACCGGGCCGGAAAGTGGGTGGCCGGAATGGTCATCGAGCCGATCCAGGCTGAGGGTGGAGACAACCACGCCTCGCCGGAGTTCTTCCAGGGGCTGCAGAAGATCGCACGCAAGGTTGGTGGGTGGAGGGTGGCTCCGGGTGGTCATTGAGGAATATTGGAAAGGGTGTTGTACTGGGTAGTGATGGGTGTGTTAAACAACAGGTACAGTCAGCGTATGTGAGACCTGAGTGCTTCTGTTTTGAGCTTTGTTGGATTAACTAATATTTATGGATATCGTTCAGTGGTTTCAGTTGCTAGTGCTGGCTGTCGGTACATATTTTATTTTTCCTTCGAATTATTGCCACTCTGGTAGGTTAAAGATGATTTATCTATGGATGGTTTATTTCTTTAGCTGTGCTGTTTTCCAATGTGCGAATAGCCTGTCCCCCTTTCCCACTGACCGCTCTCCCTCAGTCCCCCGTTGACCCCCTCCCCCCCCCCTCACCGCTCCACAGCACCAGATGGCGTTTATGATTGACGAGGTTCAGACTGGCTGCGGTGTGACCGGGAAGATGTGGGCCCACCAGTGGTTCGGACTGGACGGACCGCCAGATATTGTCTCCTTCAGTAAGAAGATGCTCACTGGTGGATACTACCACACGGATAAATACAGGTGGGCAGGCCAGCATCTCACCATCGTTTTTCAGTTGCGCTTGTGATGACGTGGAATGGGCTCATTCTTCGATGGTCACTTGAGCAGCGGATATGCTAGAATTGAGTATCTCAGATTTCCAAGCCTGCTTAAAAATCCTGCAGTTTGAAGGCTTGTTTTTTAATATAACTGAGCACGTAAGTGTAATTGAAGTGTAATTGTAATTGTAAGTATATTGAAGTGGTAGTCACAACTCACAGCCCTATATGTTTTAGTATTTATTCAGTCTATCCCGTACCGCCTAACCTGGCTCACCCCTCGCCCACCCGCAGGCCGAACGCTCCGTACCGCATCTACAACACGTGGATGGGAGACCCGGCCAAGGTCCTTCAGCTGGAGGAGGTCATCAGTGTCATGAAGGATGACAAGCTCATCGAGAACGCTGCTGATGTTAGTATGCTTCTGGATAAGGGAGGGACAGACAGCAGAGAAGTGGGTAGGAATCAGTGATTAATGATGGCAGAGGGAGCTCAGAAATGTGATTTCGACCTGCTTATGTCCTATTGTTCATAGCGACTTTTTTAGACAGTTTTCTCTTTGTTCCTGGCTGCTGCTGCTCTTAGACACACTTATAGTTTATCATACTACGCTCGTTACTTATTTACATTGCATTTTTCTTTTCTTTTTTTCTTTTTTGTTGGGTTAGGCCCTTTCGCTCTGACGAGACCATTTCAGAGCCGGAAGGACGGTAGGAATTTGGGGCTGAGCGGGCACCCTAGTGAGTCACCTGGGCTGAGCCCATCCAATTGGACAGCCCACTGGTACTCACTGCACCCGGCTTGACTCATCCACTCATCAAGTGATTTGTCCCTCGGTCGTTCATAAGTCGCTCCTCAGACACATTTACAGGGTCCACTGTGTGCTCGTTCCCCAGTCCTCCATCTTACACACCCCTCCTCTTGCTGGCACAGGTGGGCGCTCATCTGATGACCGGTCTGAACGGTATCGCTGAGCGTCGTCCGGGTCTTCTGAGCCGTATCAGAGGCCTGGGCACCTTTGTGGCGTTCGACCTGCCATCTGGTGGGCAGCGCGACAAACTGATGGCTGTGCTGCGCTCCAAGGGTAAGAGAAGACCGGGAACCTTTTCATGTCTGCGAACTTTGACTGTTTACTGTTTCAGTTGTCACTGGTTCGGTTGTATACTGGTTCAATTGTCCAATGGTTTAGTTGTCCACTGGTTCAGTTAGATCATACCAATTTGTTTTGTTCCCGGTTTTTAGGGCGCAAATCATTGTCTTTTGTGAATGTGACACGTTAAATTGCTGTAATTTTCATCATAATATTGGAACAGAGGACTTAATTTTGTGAAGTGGAAGTGAGAATCGCACGCAACGTGTCTCCTTTTTACCAGTTTTTTTTTTTCTTGTCTAGAAGCCAGTTCAACATTGACTAGTACCTGGCCTCCAGCTTCAGAACCACGTATTTGACCGCACTGTATGATAAGCTGACTGTGTTCTCCAGGCGTGGTCTCTGGCGGCTGCGGGGACGCCTCGATTCGCCTGCGTCCCTCGCTGGTGTTCCAGCGTCAACACGCCGACATCTACCTCGGAGCGCTCGAGTCGGCACTGGCCGAACTGGGCGGGGACTAAATCTGCCCCAGAGGCAGCCTCGGCGACCTTTGGCAGACTGGGCGTCGACGAGGAGCATCCCGTGAGAGTCTTGGATGCACTGAAGCAGCGCCGGATTTGTGGATTCTATGTCGGGCTTCTAAATGGCATCAAGAAGGCTCAACCATCCTTTTGAAACACCATTTCAAGAACGGAGAACTAGACCTTGGCAGACCTTAGATGGTCTTTGAGAAGATATGTGGATTTGAGGCGCTTTTGATAGTTGGCGTCATGCTTTGAGGCTGTCTGAGAGATCTCCAGATGGCGCTGTGGTGGTTGTTGCGCTCAAATGGGGAGCGTTGGACCCCTGGCAGCCATGCGTCAACTGCTGCTGGTCGGTGGAAGATTGGCTGAGGAATACTGAGGCAGGCTTGGTTTTGGGTGGGTTACGGTGGGCTTTGGTGGCGTGGATTTGATGGACAAAGGACGGAGAAGTGACTGAAATTCTTTCTAGGTGCCAGATCATCTGGTAAGGCTATCTTTATGTCGCAGTGCTCGGTTGTTCCGCGCTGAAGGTACGTTATTTCCGACTTGCGTGCAACGCTCGATTGGAGGGCGTTTCATGGATGGGATATTCTCATCCAGTGATCGCTGAATTTAGCGTTACGAACATTACTTACTATAAGTCGCGTGGTGTAGATGCTAGGTTCCCTGAACCGAAGTAGCTAAAAGCTCGTAGATTTGACAATCGATTTGTCGTTTTGCACTTCTCTACAGAGCTTTTGTCATGAAACTGTTTGTGATTTTCGTGCAATGACTGGCTTCGTATCTGATACTGGTGCAGTTTGGGGTTTGGAAAATGGTGAAGTTTTGCGCGAAAATATGCAGTTTTTGTCTTGTGCGTTAACGTTGCCATCGTAAGCTTTTGTAATGAATAGCTTTGTGCAAACATTGAAGAATTGTTGCCTTTGCTTTGCATATTATATATGATCGCGCTTGATTCGTTCATACGTATTTTTATACAAATGCAATAGTGAAGCATATTGTTTGCCGTTTTTTCGTCGCAGACCACTTGGGAAACAGTGGTGCTTATTGGATAGAACGCGGATGAATGATATTGCATACGTTCTAATAGGTTGAAAATTTGATGTTACTTCGGTGCAATATGCTGCCAGTAATTGGCCAGGTTATGATATTTGACTAGTTGCCTTGGTGAGTTGAATTGTAATACCTTAATAACTGACCACATTATCACCATATTGGGCTCAATTTTGTCAACCCCTCCGTGCTATCTGCGCTTCTGCGTGCTATCTGCGCATACAGAATACCACTCTCGCGGTGTTCTCACATTGGAGATATGCTATTGCATTCGTCTTCCGACTGTCTTCCATTGTCGGTCGATGGCTGGACCCGACCTGACCTGAGCTGATAATTGTCCGCGCTCTAGCTTGTAAGAATATGCGACGCGGTATTTCTCGTAGCTTCGATCCGATGTAAAGGCTGTCGCCTCGCACATAGTCTCTTCTAAATGTGTCGGCCAATACGCTAGGGCGTTACAGTGGTCTCTTCTCGCATAGTTCATCGTTGTTCCCTTACTGTTGCAAGTCATGCTGGTCAGACTGCTCAGCGGCTACCATCCCATGGGTGCAGAGCAGGCTGTCTAATATATGGATGCCGACATGTCTGCGCAGGTTAGCATTGTCCGTGTTCTCAAGCTACTTGTCAATGCTAGTGGCTACTTGAAATATGCTCTATCTTCTTTGATGTTGGTCGGTACGATTTCACTATCTTCGCAGGATCGCGTCTCGAAAAGCTCTTAATGTACCCTTTATATACCCTGTGGTTGAAGTCTGGTGTCAGTAGATAATTCTCCCGTGGTTCTTAGTGAACCCGATATGTGACCCTATATGCGCTAATGTAGAGCTCATGGCAAACTTATCTGTGCCAATAATACAGCTGAAAAATGTGATGGCATTATTATAACGGTTTATTGATCATTTCACCCCGTACGTCTTTGAAGTTTAAAACTAATCTATGAATGAGCAGTCTCTTCGTCCTAACTTGAGTGTCTTCGTCCAATTTTCTTATTGACCAGCATCATGTGGTCTTGGAAGCGAATAGTATTGACCAGTCAATGAAGTGTCAGTCATGGATGGGGGATCTATTTCTACGATAGATATTTCCATTCTATTCCTGTCTCTGTTCGCGTAAACATTCCTCAGAACCGGAAATAAATGGTGACTTGAACTCCCAGCCGGAGCAAATGGCAGCTGTACATATAACACATTAGGAACCACTAGTAGCCGTGTTGCGATTTCAGTTCGCCGGGCCCGAGCGGCTACAGTGTATCTAATGGAGACTGCAACAGTACACACGACACTAACACCACGGTATGGAGACTGCAATAGTACATACTACAGTAGCACCACGGTATGGAGACTGCAACAGTACACACGACACTAGCATCACGGTATGGAGACTGCAACAGTAGGTACGCACAACACTAGCATTACGGTGTGGAGACTGCAACAGGACACACGACACTAACACCACGGTATGGAGACTGCAATAGTACACACGACACTAGCACCACTGTATGGAGACTGCAACAGTACACACGACACTAACACCACGGTATGGAGACTGCAACAGGACACACGACACTAACACCACGGTATGGAGACTGCAACAGGACACACGACACTAACACCACGGTATGGAGACTGCAACAGGACACACGACACTAACACCACGGTATGGAATGGAGACTGCAACAGCACACATGACACTAGCATTACGGTATGGAGACTGCAACAGTACACACGACACTAACACCACGGCATGGCTGACATTGACAAGTGTTGCTGAGCGTATAGGAAGGCCTTAATTATTATTATTCATTTGTTTTAAACTAAGACTGAATCTTAACATTTAAAATTGAGGTTTTGCCCGACGTTTCGCGTTTATTGCTTATTCATGGGCTAATGTTACAACATTAGCCTGTAACATGATGTACCTAACATTAGCCCATGAATAAGCAATAAACGCGAAACGTCTGGCAAAATCTCAATTTTAAATATTTAGCTTCAGTCTTAGTTTAAAACAAATGAGTAATAATTAATCTAAGGCCTTCCTATACGCTCAGCAACAAACTAATACGATGTTGGAACAGCGCCACTCATCCGCTTAACGCTGCGCAAAATAGCACTGAGCGAGCGTGTCATTGTTACTGAGACGTGCCGACCAGACGGCCGCCAGACCGTCGGTTACTGGTCTATCACTCGTCAGTGCAGGTCACGAGAGGTCACCCGAGGTCACCGGGGTCATGTGGGGTCAGACCGCCCGGGGTACCTACAGCTCAATTACCAAATACTGCCGCCGCTCCCACGCCCGTACTCGATTGTGTATGATACGTTCGGGTGTTGGCGACACGGAGTTTTAATGTGATGATCGTGGGTTCAATGACAGGCTTCTGACGAATTAGGACTGGCTGAAGCCAATGGTGCTGAACCTTTACGTATGATATGGTCTACAGCCTATTGGGAAACGATGGAAAGGGTCATAGCCGTGCATATGATTACATATAGACTATAGATTTGATCTAGTGATCTGATGTCACAGTAAAAGGTGTGAATTTGTTTGAGGTTGCCATAGATTTGTTCGCATAAGACATGCACAGCTACCACTTTATGACGCCGATACCTATGTTTGTAGACTCCTATTCTGGTATAAATAAAATCGGCTGGAGACTACATTTATAAACAAGTAGGTAATCATAACTGCACTGGGGGTTTAAGTCTGCTGCAGTTGCCTTACTTGTACGTTAAGTATGCGACAGCATACAACCCACTTATAAGCGCACGCCGCACATGCATGCATGTATGCGGTTAAATATAGTGGGAGGCACTAACCTGAAAATGTCCCTTCCCTTTTATTACCTACCACCATTACCAAGCATGGCCAGAACTTGGTCCGTATTATCCCGACAATTCTCAGCGCCCAGCTTTAATTGCTCATTTTCACCTCGCTTCGGCACACGTAACGGCACGTTGTGACCTATGACGAAATACGGCACACCAGCCGTTGTGCGTGTGTACATGTGGATAGTGTGCTTCCTGGAACTTGGCGATGTCCGCTGTGAGCGTAACAAGACAACCAGTTCATCCACTACAGTTGTAGTAGGTATAGATAGTTTTAGTTTGCATGAGCTGTATCCTCGGTATGAATAGTTGCGCCCATCACATTGAAGTAATTTCACGCTGCACTTTTCCGTGAAATGTTCTTCTTCTGTAAAACACGGAGACCTATAATTCTTCACCTAAGGGATAGATAATTATGAGTTCGTGAATGACATCTCTTCATCCCTTTCGCATCTTTCGGCGAACTCGACCATTTGACGGCGTTACGGGAGCTACCCGGTCGCTCTATGGTGAAAGTGACCTGTACGATCCGCGTACCGACGCGACGGCACCCGCTCTAACCTCCAAACCATGTGAGAAAGGAAGGCCCGTTACGCAGAGCATCACTACCGGACGAGCTGTCGGCTGTCTCCCCACAGCCGTGGGGGCTGCCCGCCGCTGACACTGCCCCGGGGCATGAGGGGTCGGGGTTAACGAGAGCCGACAACTCACGAACAGTGAGCCAGGGGAACTACCTCGGCTGCAACGCAGCGCATCAGCCGGCGGCGCAGGCTGGTTTATAGCACGGCCACTCACAGGTCAGAGATGTGAATGGTCGTGAAACGCCTAAAACCTCAGTAATGCTGTTAAATGGCGTGTCCTTGCTCAACTAGGGTACCTATACCTCACCACATTTTAGCGGAGAACGTGCAGTCGGGTAAGTCCCCGAGGCAGGGACGGGACCCAGCTCTGTGAATTGCCGTGAAGATAGCTCCATACTCGCAGCGCTGGTTTACGCGTCTGGCGAGGCTGTTAACCTTGGTGTCTAGCCGTCAAATTATACGTGCCTCGAACGGTCATGGGATTGCGAAACGGCCGCCATTTTGATTTCCAGCGACCCGGCCGGTGACTGGCTGTTTTCAGTGCGATCCCTGCCCTTTGGCTAGTTATGTGGCGCAAACTGGTCACGGCACGTGACTGAACAGCTTCAGGTTCAGATGCCCGCGGACGGACGGGATGGCAGTCATTATGCTCGAGTCATCGTAATCAGATGATTTATTTCATCATTAGAATAAGTGAATGGAGTTGAAAAAGGAACTGCATTGATATTATGAGGATGAGGTCAGTAGGTATGAATTATGAAAGCTTCATCAGGAGCATTAGAACCATAAGGTAGATATAAGCATACCATGGATGAAGAATCGTGGCACTGGAAGCTTCCCGAAACTCTTGCTGCTCTTAAAAATTAAACCGTCCACTCTGTCGCACTCATAGAGGTCCTCGAAATCCATAGCAGATATTAGCCGTTTTCACGACGGGCTATCCGGCGAGTGCACCTAATTTGACCAAATCTGCACCTAATCTCTTTTACAGCAAATATCTTTATTTTATGAACTTATTTACGTGTTTTAATCGATAATACTCTCTGATAATATGACAAAGCAGGCATGCAAGCATGAAGCAATTATTGCAACCCTAGCTGATCGCTACTAAGAGACACACTGAACCTAAATTGACCAAATCCGCACTTGATCTGCACCAGCTGTGCACCAAATGTGTACCAGATGGCCGTCGTGAAAACGGTTACTGTAAAAGCTACAGGCATATCTACGAGAAATTCGCAAAAACGAGCATCGGGAGCATGTGAAGATTCTTAACTGATACTTAGCAGCGTGCCACTTGTCAGCTTTATTTACGGCGTTATATCTGTCTGTTTTGGCACTCATGTGTTCATTTATAAGAACAAGTTACGCATCCATCTCAATAATGGCAGCCCGCTAATAGGTCTCGCATTCTAGTAACCGTGCTAGACCTATGCGCGACCTTCGTCGGGCGACATTACGCCAAAATCATTACTCTTCATTATGTCATTTCCCGCTTCACGCCCTGCCGACGCTCCCACTGTATAAAGACGAGCACATCTACCCGCTCACATGGTTTTTTCGTCCATGTGTCTTCCCGAACCACTACGCAAGACTGTCTCAAACGCTAACTTGTCTCTGCTCGTCCGCCGGACACGTGAGAACGGCCCAAGTGACCCATTTCGTTACACCAGAGGAAGATGACCAGCGTCTAGCTTATTCACTCGCTTATCGCGGCGGCGTTCAGTGCCGCGGTTGCGGCGGTTAGTGGCGCACAGTCAGCAGCGGTGCGGTACGCCGCATTTCGTCACATAGGCGGACATTGCGCGATCGGCCGGGCCATGCAGGGTTGGTGTCTGTTTTCTGGTGCAGTCCGGTCACGCCGAGGGCCAATTGGCGGCGGCGGTGGCCGCAGGCGGGGGAGAGGTGCTGTGTAAACGGCAAGAAATCGCCACATCTCTGACACAGCTGGCGGCGGCGAGCGGAGGAGCGAGAGGGGCTACCACCTCCGAGCCAGGATGGGTCATGACGTGCAGAGCACGGCGTCTAGGGTCGGAGAATGGAAGGGGTCTAGATTGTGGTTGTGTTTATGGTATAGGGGCTGGGAGGTGTCTGAAATGTGACTGAAAACGAGCTGGACATAGGGAAACATATGTTCAAACCGTGTTTTTATATTACTATGAGCTATGGGAAGTGAGGGGCTGCGAATGCAATCGGAAGAGTTGAGCTTTATCAAAACATCCTGACTGGCATCTGCCTTCTCTACCTTTTTTCGTCGATGCAGACCTCACCATAATGCATAAATAGATCACAAAAAGAACAAACAGAAAAGAGGGAAGGAGGAGGGAAGCGAGCAAGAAGAAGAGAGCGACAGTAAAAAGAAAAAAGAGCGAGAAATGAATAGTAAAAAGGAAAAACAGGCATTGAAAACGTTGTGCAGAAAGCAAAGGAAAGCAAAGGAAACACGCTGTGCGGAAGAAGGGTCACAAGTCTTCAGCGGTGTTAATTAACAGCTCTGTGACCGACCTTTAGCTGTTAACTAGAGGTACTGAGTTGATTTGGATTGGATTAATCAGGGATAAAAATGCCTGCCTTTGGGTGCCCCAGCCAATAATGACATAGGAAGATATGGCCATGCTAGGAAGAAGGATATTTCCTGACCATGCATTTGGAATTTCGAAAACGTTTTTGAAAGTTCTCTCCCATTCTGAGCAAAAATTATCCCAATAAATCCAAACATGTACGAGGATAAAATCTGAACCGTCCCGATCAGATTCGGTTTGGTTATGTATTGTGGTTTGATCAAAATTATGTTTATTCTGCAAGTTAGGCAAAAATCGAAAGCTGGACTGATCAAATACACCCGAGTGAGCTTCTTTACAATGTAGCAATTAGTATCGCAATGCAAATAAGATGATAAGAGTCAATTGTGTGTTATGCAAAGCACCCTAAAATTATCATCCAAAGAATATTTTCAAAAGCCTTCTTTGGTTTAACCCTCACCATGGGGGGTCGAAACGACCCCCTCGGTTTTTGGAGTAACTCGCGTAAAAAGCGGCCGATCGCAACGAAACTTTCAGTACCCTCGAGTTGATCAATTTTATACCTACTCGGAAAATTTCATGACCCTGACCCAAATGACCATACTTTTCGAGACCGTGTTTGGCCGGAATCGCGATTCGGCGTATGTCGGCTCGCATTAGCCGCGCGTTTGCAGTCTTTTCGTGCACGGGTGGAGAATTGTGCTGGACTGGGGGTGCTCGAGCTCTCCCAATTCCACGCCGGCCACGCCGGCTTGGCTTTGGAGCCGCGGCCGGGCGGCGCGGGTCAAGGTCACCGCTAGGCGGCGGCGGATTTGCTGCGCCCGAGCACCCCCAGCTGGTCACAATTCTCCACCTATGTTTTCGTGGTTTCAAGCGTTCAACCATGTGATATGATGTTGCCCCCATGCGTTAGGGTGGGTGTCAAGGTCACCTGAAGGCCAGGTCAGGTCATTGACCTTTGATGACCACGGTTCACTTTTTCGATTTTTTACATGTTTCTAGGTCAGTTTTGGAGCTGATTTCGAACTTAGCAACCATATAGACATTTACGAAGTAGTTTTGGTGCCTTCGTAACATGTTAAGAAGCTGTCAGACGCGGCTGACACCTACTACGAATACCCGGCAGGACCCCTTCTGGTTGAACTGACCTGACCTGACCCTATCTAGCCTAAATGCATGATGACATCATCTGTGAGCAAAACTAGCATGATATTCGTGATCAGCACCCAGAAAAACCCATAGCAGCCAAAATTTACGACGATCTAACAGGTCTCGATTTTCCCGACTTTTGGGTCATTGACCTGACCTGGAAGGTCAACCAATGACCTAGGACCTTAAAATTAGTTATCATCGGCTTCCTCTTGTCACGAGCAGCACGCTCGTTATTTTCTGCGAAGCTCTAGCTCGACCAGGGGCGAAACGGCAAAGGGAGTCCAACGGACCCCCCCCCCCCCCCTTATACGTTCGCGGCTGGAAAAACACCAATACGGGCGAGGTTTAAGTCGAGCGCAGCTAATTGTACGCAATAGCACAACTCACTTATGACCAATCAGTTAGAATGCTTAAGCGTTTTCAACAACACCCAATTCGATCCCTCAGTTGATGTTCTACCTGAAGTTGTAGTAAAGCTGCCGCTTGTCTTTTGAAGCTCGACGGAAAAGTAGATGATTATGTTTTCGACCATTTTAGCCTTTACTAACCGAACATCTTTTCTTGGAAACGATGTTAATTATTCATTCGAACATCAATCTGCTCGTACATTCATGACTCGCTACCAACCTGTTTCCCGACCTCATCGCGTTCCATGTCGGTGGGGAAAGGGCGGCCGGTGGGCACCCTGGCTCTGCTCGACGGTCGTATATAAGCGGCACGCGCCCCACTCCAGACATCAGTCACACACACAAGCAATCACTGCGGGGAGCGGACCGGGAGCAGAGGTGAGCCCGACTGGGTGAATCGTGATTAATGAGTGGTTGAATTTCATACGATTTGCTCTGAGTAGTGATGTGGATAGTTTGAACTACATTTTCGGTCCGGTAATCATCATTGTACTAGCGATAATTTACAATCAAATGATAGATTTGATACGAAATCCTTTTCTGATGAATTCTTGTCGAATTTGTTTTACTACTTTTTATACAAGCATTTTTTATTTATTTTTATTTATTTCTAGTGCACGCTTTCTTTTCTTACCCACCGCTTCCATCCCTAGATGCTGCGACACGTTGTTCTTCTGTGCCTGGTGGCAGCGGCCGTCGCCGAGGAAGTCGCCGTCAAAGAGGAGGTGGCCGCCAAGCCGGCGGTCGCCGAGGAGGACCCCGCCGACGACCTGTCCGCTGAGGCCAGCGTCAAAGACAAGCGTCAGGTGGCGTACGGAGCGCCCACCGGGCTGGCTCCCTCCTTCGACAACTTCGGGGGCGGCCATGGAGCCGGCTTCGGAGGCGGTTTTGGAGGCGGTGTGGGCGGAGGTTTCGGTGGAGGTTTCGGTGGCGGTTTCGGCGGCGCCAAGTGCCGTGACGAGACCAAGTACGTGCTCACCTGGACCAAGACGGTGATCCCGGTGACCGAGTACGACACGCGCACCGAGTACCTGCCGTCGACGCTGTACAAGTACGTCACCGAGACCCAGTACTACCCGCTGACCCAGGTGCAGCTGGTGACGACCACGCGCGCCGGCGGCCGCGAGTACCAGGAGGAGACCAAGATCGCCTACCGCACCGACACGGTGGTGGTGCCCCAGGTGGAGACGGTCTACTCGACGCTGGTCTTCACCGAGGACGAGCACGTGACGGTGACGGAGACGGACCACTTTACGCAGACGCAGGCGCAGCAGTACCCGGTCGAAGTGACCGTCACCAGCGTCCAGCAGATCCCCCAGGTAAGGAGAGGGTTATAAGAGCGATTATACAGCCTCTTTATGCAGGGATTACTTTACATTGAAGTGTTCAGTGAAACTAGAGAAGCTGTTGAAGCTTCAGGTATTTTCAGAAATGCAGTGCAGGGGGTCTTGTTTTTAACTGCTTGTCGATTGCCATTCTAAATAGGCTATGCTGATGATCTCTTCCACCTTCCCTCGGCAGATCCAGACGTCTGTGGTACAGGTGTACCAGACCCAGTACCAGACGCAGTACGCCACCAACCAGTACGAGGTGGTGCAGACGCAGACGGTGGACGTGCCGCAGGTGCAGTACATCACCAACACCATCACCAAGCAGCAGTACCAGACTGTGGCCGTCACCCGCACGCGCCACCAGTACCACACGGTCACCAAGTGCGCGCAGAAGGGCGGCTACGGCAGCCGCTACTAGACTCGCCGGCCAGCTCTCTGACCTCCCCCCCCCCTCCCCCTCCCGCTACACCGACACTGTGTTGTGACAGGTCACTAGGCTAAGGTGCGCGAATTCCCATACTGTGATATATATATCGCCGGTTGTGCGGTGCCATGTTGACCAGAGGAGCGGCGCTGAAGTGGTGCCGCGGGTCGGACCAGTCAGTCGCCCGTGACCTCGTGTCTGTGCCCCAGCGGACAGCTGAGGGTGCAGACTGTTTGTGTCCCTTGTTTGTCATGTTTGTGTTACGCAGCTTACGTACAAATGCTTGATATAATAAAGAAAAAAAAACAAGAGCTAGAATTTCTTCCGAGATTTTTACGAGAAAGTCGCCCGGCATGAACACAACAACTTCCACATGAAAATTGGGGTTAATTGAAATGGCAATGTTTCGGATGTCAAACAAAAGTCATCATCAATCAACATCAATTCAACCTCAAAACTACTGCTAATCGATTTATTATCTTTTAAAACTCAACTTTCCCACAATACGTAAACTCAGACTGGTTTTTGTTATAAATTAGCTTCAAGGATAAAATGTGTCCGATCAATTTTTTCGTTACGCACCGCGCCAGGTATTTCAGTTCAAAATAGGTAGTGCTCTTTCGCGGATTCACTACTGAGTTTTGAAACATTATTTCATAAAACCTATTATATAATAAACACAAGTAATGTTATTCATGTCGATTTTTACTTATCCAAAACAAGTAGATGGCTCTGGCTAATATGAAATCAGCCTGATAATGAGCTTCTTGTGCAGCCCTCAGCAGACTGGGTGGTAGGGATTCTTTTTTTTCGACAAAACCGATAATAACTAAAAGGCTATGTTATCAGTCGGTAGGTATTCTTTTTCCGACAAAACTGATAATAGCCGTTTTCACGACGGCCATCTGGTATACATTTGGTTCACATCTGGTGCAGATTAGGTGCAGATTTGGTCAAATTAGGTTCAGTGTGTCTCTTAGTAGCTATCAGCTAGGGTTGTACTAATTGCTTATATGCCTGCTTTGAATATTATCAGAGAGCATCATCGGTTAAAACACTGAAATAAATTCATAAAATAAAGATATTTGCTGTAAAAGAGATTAGGTGAAGATTTGGTCAAATTAGGTGCACTCGCCGGATAGCCTGTCGTGAAAACGTCGAATAACTAAAAGGCTACTGCTTTCAGTCGGCCGGAGCTCATTGCAAATAGATGCGCCATGCGATTGGTTCAATCACTAAACAACGTATACGCCTTGTGTGGCGACAAAATGAAAAGGTTTGTTTTGGGGGCAAAGATAAACTGTTTGGTTTTGTTGTCAAACTGGATGGAAATGAATACGATGCTAATGCCAATATAAGGTGCAGAGTCTCGCGCGTCTTGCTGTTACAGTTTCCGAGTGACCGATAGCATAGTCAATTCGCGTTATTCTCGGTTTTGTCGAAAAAAGAATTCCTACCACACAGTTTGCAGAGGGCTGTACGTATTTCAAGGAATTCAACGCCTTTTTAGCACTATGAAAATAAACGTCTTTCGCGGTCTTTGGTCGGAAGAATACGAGGGTACTCTTGTCTGAATCACACCTGCTAATTCAAGGAAATGCACAGATGATTCAATCAACACGCTATGTGTGTAAAATTGCAGTTTTCATCTCATTCCGTTACTACTGTGTGTATTATTGCAGTCTCCATACCGTTGTGTTTCTGACGTGTGTATTAGTGCAGTCTCCAAAGCGTGGTGTTAGTATCGTGTGTACTGTTGCAGTCTCCATACCGTGGTGCTACTGTAGTGTGCACTGTTGCAGTCTCCATACCGTGGTGTTACTGTAGTGTCATGCGTGTATATTTGCAGTCTCCCTATTGCGGTGCAACTGCTGCGCTTGTTATTTAAGTCCCCATTCATTTTATATCATTTTTTACGGATTATGATAGTCTCCGACTCCATTCTTCAGTGCTAATGTTGTGCGTGCCATTCCAGGCTCCATTCCGTGGCGCTCGGTTGTCTGTGCTATTGCATCTTCCATCTTGTGGTGGTTCTGTCTCATTTGACATTACATTCTGAATCTTTTGGGTCTGCTGTTGTGTGCATTATTGCAGTCTCTATCTATCAGTGCTTATGGTATGTGTACTTATCATTGCCGTTCAATTTAGGGGTCATTCTGTTACGTATACTGTTACACTCGCTAACGATAACTTTGCAATACTGGTGTGGCGTTACGGCTATGGGCTGCCATCCCAGAAATGTGTTGCCAAGCTGGAAAAGCATGTGTTGTCACACATGTTGTCAAGCTGAGAACTCCTTGCAACCACACCGAGGTACAATGACAAGCATGCCTGCAGGCGCTTCGCTTCCTTGAATAAGCCATTGATGGAAAATGATAACGATTCCAATTCACTGCGCAGTGCTAGACATTGTACTTACATTGCTTAGCATGTTGTTTGTCCACGCATAGTCGAAAGCAAAAAATATGACAGCTCAGCTAAGCATGAAAATACAAGGAACTAAAAGATTGGATTCCAAATTAACTTTGTCAAAGTCAGTTCTGTAGGTACCAACCGTGGTTCCAGGTCTCTCATTATTTCTCCTTTATCCATAAACACCATTATCAATTAACTTTTTTCGTTCTTCAGAACAGATAGGAAAGTTTTTCGTGTTAATATAATTTTAATTTATTATATCAAGCATTTGTACGTAAGCTGCATAACACAAATACGACAAACAAGGAACACAAACAGTCTGCACCCTCAGCTGTCCGCTGGGGCACAGACACGAGGTCACGGGCGACTGACTGGTCCGACCCGCGGCACCACTTCAGCGCCGCTCCTCTGGTCAACATGGCACCGCACAACCGGCGATATATATCACAGTATGGGAATTCGCGCACCTTAGCCTAGTGACCTGTCACAACACAGTGTCGGTGTAGCGGGAGGGAGGGAGAGAGGGGGGAGGTCAGAGAGCTGGCCGGCGAGTCTAGTAGCGGCTGCCGTAGCCGCCCTTCTGCGCGCACTTGGTGACCGTGTGGTACTGGTGGCGCGTGCGGGTGACGGCCACGGTCTGGTACTGCTGCTTGGTGATGGTGTTGGTGATGTACTGCACCTGCGGCACGTCCACCGTCTGCGTCTGCACCACCTCGTACTGGTTGGTGGCGTACTGCGTCTGGTACTGGGTCTGGTACACCTGTACCACAGACGTCTGGATCTGCCGAGGGAAGGGGAGTGATCATCAGCATAGCCTATGTAGAATGGCAATCGACAAGCAGTTAAAAACAAGACCCCCTGCACTGCATTTCTGAAAATACCTGAAGCTTCAACAGCTTCTCTAGTTTCACTGAACACTTCAATGTAAAGTAATTCCTGAATAAAGAGGCTGTATAATCGCTCTTATAACCCTCTCCTTACCTGGGGGATCTGCTGGACGCTGGTGACGGTCACCTCGACCGGGTACTGCTGCGCCTGCGTCTGCGTGAAGTGGTCCGTCTCCGTCACCGTCACGTGCTCGTCCTCGGTGAAGACCAGCGTCGAGTAGACCGTCTCCACCTGGGGCACCACCACCGTGTCGGTGCGGTAGGCGATCTTGGTCTCCTCCTGGTACTCGCGGCCGCCGGCGCGCGTGGTGGTCACCAGCTGCACCTGGGTCAGCGGGTAGTACTGGGTCTCGGTGACGTACTTGTACAGCGTCGATGGCAGGTACTCGGTGCGCGTGTCGTACTCGGTCACCGGGATCACCGTCTTGGTCCAGGTGAGCACGTACTTGGTCTCGTCGCGGCACTTGGCGCCGCCGAAACCGCCACCGAAACCTCCACCAAAACCTCCACCCACACCGGTTCCAAAGCCGCCTCCGAAGCCGGCTCCATGGCCGCCCCCGAAGTTGTCGAAGGAGGGAGCCAGTCCGGTGGGCGCTCCGTACGCCACCTGACGCTTGTCTTTGACGCTGGCCTCAGCGGACAGGTCGTCGGCGGGGTCCTCCTCGGCGACCGCCGGCTTGGCGGCCACCTCCTCTTTGACGGCGACCTCCTCGGCAACGGCCGCCGCCACCAGGCACAGAAGAACAACGTGTCGCAGCATCTGGGGTCGGCGACGGGGGTTAGTGTGAGGAAGTGAGGTTATAGATATGTTGAATAGCTGAATGGATTGATTCGAATATTAAAAACCCAACATTAAATATTTTGATAGACAGGCGAAACGAAGCAGATATCACTACTTCAAATGAAATTATCAAAATTTTGAAAATCGATAGCGGGTGGCAAGAAGTTAAAGGGTTCACATCAGTTTTTAATGTTAGTTTTGCAATTCAACCACTCGTTGAGCACGTTTCACCCAGTCGGGCTCACCTCTGCTCCCGGTCCGCTCCCCGCAGTGATGGTTTGTGTGTGTGACTGATGTCTGGAGTGGGGCGCGTGCCGCTTATATACGACCGTCGAGCAGAGCTCGGGTGCCCACCGGCCGCCCTTTCCCCACCGACATGGAACGCGAAGAGGTTGGGCCTGGTCCGGGTCTGCGCGGGAGCGATAAGCTGCCGTTATTCGACGGATGGTCGACTGGAGATAGTACACATTTTAACCGCGTAACAGGTGTGAAAAAAAATATTTAGAATTTTGTCAATATGTGTTAGTTGATCATAATTGCCAATTTTGGGATGTTCATCTGTTTTCTGCAGTAAAAGGTGCATGTTTCGTTGCAATTTATCATAAGCAGCTTGACTACAGAGTTTTCGACATAGCTAGATAATTATGTGGCTCGACTAGCTGCGATGGAATGCTTATGAATCGCCTAGGACATCATTATGTTCTGACTTCTGGGTATAATAACAGCACAGAATATGCATTCTGCGACCGAAAGTAATGATCATGTCCTAGACTACATTTGTGTACATGTACATATTCTATACTTATAGTCTACATTCAATTATTTCGTGAATCGTGATTATAGGTAACCGTTCTGTTGACCATATTAATAATGGCATATGGCAAAGTGCCTCTTTTGAAGTGCACAGGAAGAAAGTCAACACTGCATGAAACGCGCAGACGCGTAGCAAAACTCTGGAGGTCGCCATGCCTCAGCTGGCAAGAATACACGGCTGCCTCTGTCGCCTCGCTGCACCCGATTCCTTAACGCCTTTCATTACCGTTGCCGATTGCTGCAATACGCAATGATTGGGATCTGTATGACACTGCCCGCTAGAGACAGAAGCTTTCTATGGACTCCTGAGTCCTGACCTCCACCCCGACTTGTTCAGCATGCGATAGCCTTCTAGCAAGGAAGTGAATGGTATTGAAGATAATGAGGCAAAATCTGCGATTAAATCATTAGAAAA